GGCATTGCCAAATATCAGCAGGTAAACAGGGTCTTCATGAATCTAAGAATTGTTTTCCATATAACTGTTTCTTTTTCTTTCTTTTCAGATTTGGCTAAAACGGACACAAAACATTCTAGAATCCCTCCTCTACTCTTTAGGCTTGGCAGAAATGTGAATAAAGTTTTACAAGGTCAAAGATTTTGAGAGTTAAATTCCATTCATTGGCAAGAAACATAATTTAAATGATAAATTTTTAAAGCTACTCTCCTTAAACAGCAGGAAATTGTGAAATTTGAATATTAAAACAGTAAAGATACACATCATTAAGTACAGCAATTTATATTCAGGATTATAAAATGTGAGAAAGTGAAAGTTATCTAAATACACTAGATGTCTTCAATAGACACATTCTTTAAACAAGTGGTTTTATAACTATTGCCAAAATTCCATCTCCTACTATTTCAAACCTCTCTACCTAGTCTACACCACAGATTACCTGCCACTCACAATAGTACCTGGTAAATACTATGATCTGAGGTTCAAATGTTATAAAACAACAACTAGTCTTTTAACTCAGTTAACCAGGATATTTACTTAACACATATAACTAAAATGAAAATACATCTGCTCGAGCTTTCATCAAACCATGTTTAAGCTTAAGCTTATAATAGATATAAAATGCACAACTTGAGATATAGGCTACAGGCATCAATAATCCTTTATTCATCCTTAGGTCAGAAAAAGGGAATGTTTGGCCTTCAGCATATAATAGTTAGATCTTCATTCACACATTTTTAATTCAAAGTTTTAATAAAATATGAGACTGCAGGCCATTATTGTCTACATGTAGTATTAAAGCTTATTTAACATAAAATTGCCACCAATCAATAAATTGTGAAATAATTAACAGAATAGAGAAAAGGTCAAAATAAAGTACTGCAACGACTTTCTCCCACTTAAAATAACTGAATAACTTGTAATTTATAAGACAAAGCTTATTCCAACACCAAGGGTAACACAGAATAGATTAATTAGGGTAAAATGTTTACTATATCAAATTAAAGAGCAGTGTTCAAAATTGAAGCTATTATTAGCATGTGATCCATATTCCACACCAGATCTTATCCTGAACCAAACAATTCTAATTATTGTAAAACGACTGCAAGTCATGTGGATTATTTTCAATAAAGCAATAGATGGAAAATGTTTTACATGAAATCACTTGCTTTATTATATGAAAAAGAGGTGTTGGAACTGTACCATGAAGTTCAAGTAGTATGACCAGAGTTGAAGACCTATCTTGATTCAAGCTGTAGTCATATTCACATTAGAGCTGCCGCTTATCATACTGTATAAAAACAGGGTCCCGCAAATACTATTATTTAATTTCAGATGTAGGTTTGGAAGCAAGGATGATAACTTTCAAAATAAATATTTGTAAATGGTAATATTATATACTAGTCAATCCCTTAAAATCCAATGAGTCAATGAGAAAACAAAGTATCCCTGTAATCCTACATGACAAAATAAGACAATCATTTCCTAATGACACATAGTAATACCTTTCATTACCTTCTTAAATCTTATATTTGTCAAGGATACAGATGAATGTCTATTATGGAAATTATGAATACTTTTATTTGCCATGTTGTTTGTAATCGCTTACTTTGATTATTTAAAAAAGGTTTGTAAGCAAATTATGATACCAAGTTATTAAGTAGAACTACACAAACAGATCATAGTTAAAACAACAACTACATTCAAACTCAATAAAACCCAAGGTATGAAACAAGCAACTGTTGTAACATTGATGAATCAAATTTCATAAGAGTCTTCGAGTTAGGGCACTGGCTGTGTGTCCTAGCATACAAATCCACTGTAGTCTGTAGGCCTTGTCAACTGTCACCGTCAACTCATGATGAACAGATTACAATTCATTTGTCAGTTGTTCTCCTAATCGTTAAAAATAAGCTGCAGGTTGTAATCTTCATGATCAAATCCTTTGTGGGACACATGAATCTGGATGAAGCCCATACATCAACATTCACTAAGCCTGAAGTGGATGCTAGCAGACAAAATAAATAAAAATAATTTTGACACTCACTGCACGGAATATCTTCCAAGCTCCCAGCAATTTTCTCTCTGGGGGAGACTTTGTCATCCATCCGGAATGCACTACTTCATGATCAACTTTATTCATATCGTGGTGCCTATGTAAAAATCCTAAGTACTTATTAAATAATGATGATTTAGTTTCCATGAAAGGGCCGTAGTATTCCTACCACAACACACCATTTTGCTCCAGATTAACAACTATCTGCACGTCATCTACGTTGTCACAACTATTTGACTGAAGCCATTTTATTATCGTAATCATACGTTAAAGAGCCAGTGGGAGTAATATGAAAATTGACCAATATTGTCATCCATGGGGGGACAGGTTCGCCATTCGTTAAACCAATAGTATTTTAATCTTAGGAACAGGATTTTTGTTGCAGATGAGCTAATCAGTAATATTGCTCACTGTTGAAATCTTAGCCTTCGTGTTAAATGACGACTTTTGTGAGACTGTCATAAAGACATCTTGTAGAAATAGAAAGTGAATCTTCTAGTTTGAGCTATTTGCGAAGGAATTATGCCATTTCTGTACATTTCTAGTAGTTCTAAGACTATTTACATATATTCTTAACCCAAATCAACCCCCAAAATGACGAATTTGTCCTTACTGACAGTAGAAAATTTAAAAAAAAAAAAACAATGAAAGTGTTGGTTGACAAGGTTCTTCAACCTGTATAAACTTTTTGGTACAGAATTAATCATGAATACTAAAGAAAACATTGAGAGTAATTTCCGAGTAAGTCAATACTTGATTCCTGCTACGTTTTTGTTGGACAGATGGAAGAAACGTTATTTCAGCTGATAAAAATAAAGATTCAGTGAAGACGAATGTATTACTGAAAGAAATCCAAGACCAACAATTATGGTATAAGACTTTAATGCGATTTAGAAGTGAGAACACACGGCAATATTATGGAATAAAAATTTTTTTTTAAAATAAAACACTTTAACGTTTCAACACGAATTAAAAAAAATTACAATATAAAGGGTCAGGAAGATTATTTTACATTTAATTTATTTGTCAATATTTGTCTTATTGAAAACAAAATCAATTTCAGATTTTCGTTATGACTTTTTCATCCGGATGTACAAAGGAAAATTTGATAACTCGTCCCTTTAAATAATTTTACTGTTAACCGTACGAAAATTTGTACACATATACATTCTATTCTTATCCTCGTAAGAACTGTCCAATGATTGGACAAGGAACGGAAATGATACACGGTCATCATAATAAGATTCTATTGGCTGTCTGATTTATCATTAACCAATCATATTTTATCAACGGATTTCCCTTACTATTTTTAGAGTTTAATATGTCATCGGGGTAATTTCCTGTGAATTCTTATCAAGCTTTTATGAGTTTTTATAGATAAGATATGATTTATTACCCCTTTTATAATAATATTATTCACCGTTCCAGGTATGATACATTGGTTGATATATTTAACACCCTTTAGTCCAAGAGAACTTGAGGCTGAAGATACGCATTATTTAATGAGAAATCTTTACTGTCACTGATACTGATATGTTACAATATGTGCCAATAGTTGTAAATTCTGTCATTGTACAACAGGTATTTTGACTGAACTTACTTTTATATGTTATAACTATTAATGGCAATTTCAAAATGGGAAATGTACTGGGTTATAGATGGATAGTTTTATGGTGTAGGCTAGATTAGGTAGGCCTATAAACATAAGAGGATAGGCTAATAGTCAGGGCTTAGGATATTTAGATTTACAGGCGAATGCTTCAAATTCCTATGTGAGATGGAGAGCAGGGAGAAAAAAGGCTATCGTCATATAATTAATACAATTTCTGTTACTGTTTTGTTTGAACATAAGAATGTGTACCTTCATCTGGTAAAGCAGATATTTTGACGAGTATAATGAGTTCCACCCTACAGACCAATATTTTATTTAATCATAATAGGTACCCTTAGATCTAACATTATGTTTTACATGTCAAGGTTAACAGTGGCAAGTTGTGAGATTAGTATAAAAAAAGATTAATTGTGTCAAAGACATATCAAGGAAATGGTACAATATTGCATTAATATCTTATTATGCAATATCAAGAAGACAAATTGATAGGGTTGTAGGTTATTAGCATTGACCAATATATACCTTATTGTACCAAATAGATAAGTGACCAAATTACATAATTATTATCTTTTATTGTTTTTTTTTGTTCACTTATTGTTTCTTAAGTATCACCAAATCTTTGTAAGTTTTTTTTATCATATAATCATGTCCAGTTATTAGGTGAAATACTGATGAAATCAGTTTTAGAAAAGACCTATATTAACCAGGTAATGAAAAAAATTACAGAAATCAGGAAGTAGGAAAAAGGATGTGAATTAGTATAAGCAAAAGTAATGGGAAATGTAACAGGATGGTATTGATTAATTTGATAAGTAAATCTTGTGATTATATGTTGTTTTGATGACAACAATAAATAAATCTATAGAAATTGGTGGGAAAACTCATGGTTTGTGAAAATAACCAGTTAAAATTTGATGTAGTCTCATGATAATTAATTTACGAAATCTAAGTTTATATATAAGTAACACTTGTATTACAAATAAACAAAACTTTTGATTCCTTTTTGGCCTAACCTCTGTTACATATAGTACTTGAAATACCTAGAAATATAGAATTTGTGTAAAAATAAGATCACTGTAAGGAAAAGAACTAATAATTTCAAAGTGTTAATTAGCTAAGTTAAATTGTGGGATTTTTTTTTCAGCATAAACATTCAAAATGAAAACAAGAAGTAAAATGAAAATGCGTTAAATTGTTTGGAACTGAGGTTTGTTCTGATAGAAAATGGCAGAACCTATGGAATGGTCATCAGGCTCATCAAGTATGGAAGAGAATAGTAAATGGAGTTGTGTCATGTGCACATTTGAAAACAACGCACAAGACCACAAATGTCATGTATGTGAATTTCCCAAAAAGGGTACTGTTTCCAAGACAACTAGTGATTCAAGTCAAAACAGAGAGAACTCAAGACCAGAGAATGGAGCTGTTAATAAAATCAGACCAAAGAGTGAAGGAGATGCTTTAACAGGTGCTAAAGGTAACAAAAATGAGTGGAAATGTAAGAGATGTACATTGTTGAATTCTGCTGGATCTGAAAGGTGTTCTGTGTGTGAATCCCCAAGAGTGATTAGGATACCCACATTGCCAGATAATATAGATATAGCAGCTTTTAAACCAAAACCACAACCCTCACATGTTGCTCAGAACCCATCATCAGACAAACAAGACAGTCGTACCAATGTTATTGCAAGTAAACCTGAAATTAAACCCAGAAAACCCCTTCCTGACGTACCAATTTGTCAAGTCGTTCGTGTGAAAGACAAAAAAAAACAATATGTGTCAACAGCTTCCAAAATAGAAATAAATGCAAATTCTATTTCAAAAGATCAAGAACCTTCAAGCAGTGATCCAGCCCCAAAAAGTCCTATAGAATTCAACAAAGACAGTGTTAGATATCTGAAACCATCTTCTAGTAAAACCATACCTATTTCTCAAGACAGTGCTACTTCTCAAAATGGCAGCATTTCCTGGGATTGTGGTCAGTGTACATTTCTGAATGAAGATGACACTGATCTATGCTGGATGTGTGGGTTTGGAAAAAGCGAGTCCCAGAATATTAGTTCAGGTATGGAGTGGAAATGTCCAAGGTGTACTTTACATAATAAACAAGAACAGACAAAGTGTTCAGCTTGTGGAGTTGGTAGGAATTCTGATAAACCAACTCGAGAAAAGGAAGTATCAAAAAAAGATGACAAAATGAAGAAAGAAACAGATTTGTCTCAAAATAAGAACAATATTATCAATGAAGGAGCATCAACTTCCCAATCTATTTCAGACAAATGGCAGTGCTCATCTTGTACGACTTTGAACAATATGGTCGACAAATCATGTAAATCATGTAAAAATGTAAAATCGAAAACACACAAGAGAAAGAAACCGCCCAGCCCTAGTCTACCAGGTACTCTAAGTCGACAAGAAAGTTCACTGATGGAAGATTTATTGAAATTAGAAGTCGAGGAAGCTCTGGATAGATTGGAATGTATCAGACTGTTCTGTAAACAGGTGAAAAAAACTTTTCAATGACTATTAACTGTCAATGTTATTGGCTTTATAGTAACTTAACTAAATGACTACATAAATACTATCAAGGCTTAATTATTTTGAAAAGCAAGAGACACAATTTGAATCCATGTGTTGTTCAATCAGATTTTTAGAACCATGACTAAAGGACCTCCTGAAATTTATTTAAACCTCATTTGATTGTTCATTTCCTGATAATTGATATTGTAAGCTCTATATTTAACTTGTGATGAGTATTCTCTAGAAATATGGAAAGTTACTGTGTAAAATCTGTATCCAATTGAGGTTGATTTTGCTTTAGGATTTTCTTCATATTCTTTTATATTTCAGAATAAAGAGGTATTTGTTGACGATTCGTTTCCTCCTGCTCCTAAATCACTGTATGTTGATCATAAATCCAAACTGGTAGCTAGAAATATACAATGGTTGCGTCCCCATGAAATCACACCTTATTATCAAGATGAGAAGTCATTAAAGTGGGTTATTTATAGGACACCCATGCCAGAAGATATTTCTCAGGGAATTCTTGGTGATTGTTGGTAGGTCATAGCTTGAATTTTTTCTACTTCAATAATTATGCTTACAGTGATTGGAGTCTGTAGCAAGTTATAACCCAATATCCAGTGGTCCAAAATGGATTGTACCCCAAATTGTACCCCACTTCCATCATCTAACAACTTATATGATTCCTATATGTTTTTGCCCTAAAATATGTGTCAGAATGCAAATAATCAATTCTATTTTTAACAAATTTTCTTTGTTGAGAACCCTCTCAGACGTTCCATGGGAGGTTTGCGCCTAAGCTCTTTAAGTTCATAGAGCTGCCACATTTGGAATCTTAACCTTGATAGTTGCCTGCCTCTTATTTGTACCCTCAGTCTCTGAATACTTGGGCTGACACTGACACTTCTGAGTTTGTCTACTTTGCCTCCCATTCAGAGAATCAAATAGTACATAATGTTATATTAAAGATGTAATTGATGATTTAAATTGTACTCTAGAGTGTAAGGGAACTGTTATTATCAGTAAATGCTGTATAAGAAATAGAATTAAAGTCTTTTGAATCTGAATATTTCTATGTTGATTTTAGGTTTTTAAGTTCATTAGCTGTATTAGCAGAAAGACCAGAGCTAGTAGAACGTATTATATTGACTAAAGATTATTCATATGAAGGTGGATATCAAGTGAGGTTATGTAAAGATGGAATGTGGACTGTTGTTTTAATTGATGACTTTCTACCATGTGATCAGAATGGAATGCTGGTATTTTCTCAGGTAACAGTTGGTGGAGATCTCTCAGATATAAATTTTAGTTCTGCATTTTATTTAAGTACAAGAAATCCAGTTGTCTCGCTTTTAATTTACTTGCTATATATGTTTAGTTTATTACCTAAAGTATGTTTACATTAAAAAAAAAAATATATGATATATAATTCAAGATGACTGGAAATGGACAAAACATTTCAATTTGATCAGTTTCTTATTTTTGGAAAGGAATTTTCCTATACTAGTTTTAATATTTTGTTTGATGTTATAAGTTTAACTAGTTTGTACATGGTTGGGTTTTTCCATAAATATCAGTTTATATATTTTCTCAAAGATATTGACAGTGCTTAACTCCATTATCATGTTTCCAAATGAGTATAGTGTCATGTTTGTCTGAAATGAAATAAAAATGGACATCAGCAGGCCAATGTAACAAACACTTTTGGCTTGTAAAAATGGTATAAGGCTGTTTTGATAAGATTCAATCAATTATTTGCTGATTTACAAATGATTGTCTTCAACTTTTTGTTTCTTGGTCATTAGCTGTATTTTCACTACAAGTATGAAATTTTTCCCATTTTTTTCTTCAGGCTAAAAGAAGACAGTTATGGGTGCCTCTGATAGAGAAGGCAATGGCTAAGTTACATGGTTGTTATGAGGCTCTGGTTGCAGGAAAATGCATTGAGGGCTTAGCAACACTAACTGGTGCTCCTTGTGAAAGCATCAATTTACAGGGTATACAATATATTCATTATACTAAAAAAATAATACACGTAGTTGTGAAATAGTCAAAAGAGAAGCGTTGAGAATTATTGTTAGTTCTACATGATAAAGAATTTGGGCTTGTTAAGAAAAGTTATTCAAAGCACAATGATTTTTATGTTTGGATGAATCTTGCAATCTAGATTGCAATTCGAAAAGCTCATTTGAACTTTGTTCTGAAAACAAATGATTAATGATATTCTTATGTTAATGATTTTTTGTAGGAGATTCAACTCAGGGAAGAGTTATAGAACCTGATTTAATCTGGGCCAAGTTATTAAGTTGTAGAGATTTAAAGTAAGATTTTTTTATGTATAATGCACACAGAGAGTTTATGTAGTATTTCTGTGAAAATTTGATTATGAATCCTAAATATGACACATTCTTTTTCCAGATTTTTAATGGGAGCATCATGCGGTGGAGGGAAAATGAAAACAGATTTTAACCATTTTCAAGAACTAGGTTTGAGATCTCGACATGCTTATTCTATATTGGACGTACAAGATGTGGAAGGAAACAAGTAAGGCTTCTGAGATTACAAAAATTAAATTTTTAGGTTACTTGATGTGCTCAATGTATGTTATGTTTTGGTGATAAAGGATATAGCTGAAATTGAGATTTAACTAGTACTTAGAGCACTGTATCTCTTTGAGTAGGAAATTGACAAGGCAGTTGTGCACCAACTCAAAAGTAGTATTTCATTTTCTGCACATTTTGAAGTATGTGGTCTGCTTCAAAGTAACAAAATTGTTTAAAAAAATAGTCTCCCTTCATACACAGGTTAATCAATTTCTATTATTATTTTTAAATTATTCCTGTTAGTAGACCTTTCTTGTTGTAACAAAATAATTCTCTCATTGTTTTGTACAGATTATTACGATTAAGAAATCCATGGGGTCGATTTTCCTGGAAAGGTGATTGGTCTGATAAATCAAGTAAATGGCACACTATTAGTTCTACTGTACGAAACAATTTAATGATACATGGTGAAACCGAAGGAGTTTTTTGGATTTCATTGGATGATTTACTCAAGTAAGTTAAACATCTTTGAAATTGGTTTTTATTCTTAGCCAGCTTGCAATTATGCAAATACTAGTAATAGGTTATTTTGATTAAGCCCAAAAATATCAAATTTTGGATTGGTTATCAAGATCTTTATGGTTAACTTTCATAGCCTGAAACTTTGATGTTTTATTTCCAGATGTCATAACAGTATTGATGTGATTTTTATCATGCAATTTTTATTTCTAGATATTTTAACAGTATTGATTTGATGTTTATTTCTAGATCTTTTTTTTTTTTATCTTTTGTGATACTCATTTCTTGATATTTTAACAGAATTGTTGTGATCTTTTTTTTTTAGATATTTTGACAGTATTGATGTATGTAAAATTAGACCTGATTGGAGAGAAACTAGAATACAAGGTGTTTTCCCTAGAAATGCTATGGAACCAATGAAGATTGTAAAATTGACCGTATTTTATACCACAGAGCTGGAACTAGGCCTGTTTCAGGAGGGAATTCGGTAAGAAAATTTGCTTCCCAATTAGCCATACCACGAAGCAAGCAATACAAGGGAAATTTCCCTGGGCAGCAATGTTAGCTTGAAATTCAACATTGCATTCAACATACCTTTTAATAAAGCTTTTTTTTGTTTCACAGTGGTAATGAGAGTACAACATTAGACCTATGTCTAGTTGTCCTACGTGAAGTTAAAAATACATCGACAGCAGCTGGTCGTGTTGTAGGTGGAAGTAAACGTGAATTAAAAAGTTTTATAGGTTGTAATATGATGATAGAACCAGGAGAGTATTTGGTCATGTGTCTGGCTTTTAACCATTGGACACTTGGTAAGTTACTTTCAACATACAATTCATGGGAAATTGAAATGCTGAATGTCTGTTTTCATTATTTGGGATTCAAAAAGATGCCAAGATATGTTTAGTGTTTGAAAAGACATCTTTATTTAAATTCCAAATAACAATTAATGAGCAAACTTCATTCTGCTGTTTTAATAGTAAAGTGCAAATATTTATGTTTTTTAGGTGCTACAGATCCCAAGTAGCAGTCCATTACATCATTATGTATTATCAATACATAGTTCTAAAGCTGTAATGGTGGATGAGATTACAACTTATAGAAATAGACTATATGAACATATCTTACCTGATGCTATAATACAACTCTGTATTGCTCATGGTCATGCTCAAGAGGTAACTAGCCTTGTTTTAAATTGGATTGTTTACATAATGCTAAATTCCTACATTACAATAAAGAGATGTCAGTATGTAGATATCAATCAATCAATGTAATACATATTCATTTGCATACCATTTAATAATTTTGTCAGTGTAAAGTCTTTTATTTAACACACTCTGATGGCAATTTCACTTCTGAAAAGATTTCTGCAGACTTTTTAGTAGTCTTATATCATTTACACATTATATATTTTATAACCTTCTGTTGACAGATAAGAGATGGAGTAACATTATATAATCTAATGAATGGATGGGCCGGTGGTATTTTTATGGTTGAAAACCGGCTGCCACAGAATTATGTCCAAATATGGTGTGAGTGTAATGATAGTAGTAATGTTGTATCAACAAGAGGAGAATTAGAAACTAAAGATGCTGTTCCAGCCCTCAGCAGGTTAGTTAACTTTGCTCAGTTTTGTGAAGCAGTAATTTGATGTAATTGTGATTTCTAGATATTTTGATAGGATTATGTGACCTTTATTTTTAGATATTTTGATAGGATTTATGTGATCTCTATTTTTAGATATTTTGATAGCATTGATGTGATTCTTATTTCTAGATATTTTGATAGGATCTATGTGATACACCAGATACTCTCCTGGTTCTATTAATTTTTTTATTTTAATGAAAGACATTTTTTTGTTGTTATTACAGACAAATATTAATGGTGTTATCCCATTTAGAAAGAACACAACCATATCATTTATCCCGTGTTATAAAGAATAGATTATCAACCAATCAACCAGGGCTGGGTAACTGGGGTAGTCCTGTCTGTAATAATAGTCCTTCATTGTCACCTACTATAGCTTTATTTCATTCACCAAGACCACTGTAATTCACAGTGGACAACTTATTACCCTAACTTTCTCACAATGGTTACCAAATTACACTATTCATGGAATTTCTTTACTATTATTATCATATTATGTCATACAATTTGGTTTCTTCCTAAACTTTGATAGAAAATGAAAAAATTTTTTGTATCAAAATGTCTTATTCAATACTATGATTTCATCATGATTTTGTAATACCGTTACATTTTGATGGAGTGACTGTGTATCTGTTGTTTTAGAAATGATTTCAGTTGAATTTGTTTTTAAAACATTATTGGTATAAAATGCCAATGGTAGAGTATATTTGTGCACTGATTTGATTGTCTAATTATGCTATCTCCCTTTCTTCGCTGTCATAGAAAGATCAAGGAAAGATTTTTTGGAATGACTTGAAGACTAAATTGTTTTTGTGTGAAATACAGACAGTCTTTTGTTTGTTTCTTTAAAAATAGACAATGTTGTTAATGGTCAAAACCAATGTCTACTATTTTGATATTCAGATTTGCATAATTTCATATATGAACTGTTGTTGGATGTATGCAAATATATATTGAACAAATCAAAATGAGAATAAGCATGTGAAACATGTACGATTTTATTATTGTGATCTCAAGTGAATAAATATTTTACTTGCTCAAAAAAATATGCATGACAACGACTTTACATGTAGAATTTGTTGATATCTATCAAATATTTCAAGGTTTTAATATTTTTATGTCATGATATGACCTCAGTTTTATTTTTGAATATTTTAATTGATGGAAACAAACATGGTTTTCTAATAATGTCTTTATTGGTGTACTTTTAAGTCTTTGGGAATTTTTATTGTGTTATAAACCTAACTAAAAAGGTTTTCCTAGCCTTAGTGTGGGACACTTACAGATTTAAATTTCTCAGACATTCTATTTCACTAACCACAGATATTTGATGTGAAATCAGACGAACAAAAAAGGCATAAATGACCCCTATACACATGCAATGGGTATGAATCTCTAATTAATCCTGTTATGAAACCAACAAGACATTACATTTGAATATGATGTTTGTTTGTCATCACTTTCAGGGGCATGGTTTTAGACAGATTTAAGAGATGCTTTTTCACTTTTCAATTGAGTGTATTTAATCTTCATAGTTATGCAAATTTTAGAAATAATTATTCCCATGCTATCAATTAGACCATGCCCCTGAAATTATCTAAATAATTACACTTTAATATATATATTTGGGTGAAAACTCATATATGAACCTCAGAATTATGAGTATTTTAGATCTCTGTAGAATTGTCCCATTACTGTAGATTCCCATTATCCCTTATACAAAATAATCGATTTTTATGTGTACAATTTTTGTATGTATATACGTATATAACTTTTTGATTCACAATCTTCAACATTTGGTAGATTGAATTTTTCAACATAAAGATAAATGTTGCATTGCATGTTATTAAAAAAAAATTTTATAAACATTTTTAATAGCTATATAGACCAGTAATAATGATGCTAAAAATTACTCAATTGAAGCTTCAGGATTTTGGGTTAATTTTAAAGGTATACTACCTCTTAAGATGACCAAAAAATTGAAATTTTTAAACATTGCCAAAATGAGCTTTTGTTCATCCATTGACTAAACTATACAACAGAATCCATCTATAATCTAATAAATCCATACAACTAAGTAATAATTCATTAAACTTAGTAATTTTGAAACATTCTTTGAAGCATTTTTCAATGATTATTTAGTTTAATAGATATATTTTCTTATATTACTGACCAAGTTAGAGACTTATTTATCCAGTTTAAGAGGTAGTATCTTCTATGTTTTGTATGTTTACAAGATAAAAAAAAGAGGTAGTATCTCTTTAAGCTTGCTACTAACATCAACATTCCAAACTAAAAGGTTGTGTTTAAAGAATTAGAATAAGCCTATATATTGTTCATAATATTTTTGATGAAAAGCTGGTAATTCCATGTTTCATTTTGTATTTCATGGTTTTTTGTACTCAAGCATGGATGCCAGTGAATTGTATCTTTAAATATAAATATTTGTTTGATTTTATGAAAATTTTAAAAGTTTGACAATGTGTTATTGCGAATGTTAAACATGACTGATATACATGGCAATTTTGTATACCTTCTATATTATGTTCCTATTCTGCATGTATAAGTAAAGAGCTCAACTGATATTGAGTAATTTTTAATTTTTGGATGAAAATCGTTTGGTATTAATGGTATTATTTGGGTAGTGTGAGTTTTTGATTGAATTGTAGCACAGTAGATGATTGGGAAATGGGTTCGATTGTCATCTGCTAGACAGTAAGTTGCTTTGAGTAGTGCTTGATTTTCTACCACTTCAAATGAGCACAAAACTGGTCTAGCTTAGCTTGAAAGACTTATGCTACCCTTAAGTCAGACGATTTACGGAATTGATATTTTTCTGATATGAAAATTTCTTTCAAGATATTGGTTGTGATTCCAGTTTAAAGCACACAAAATTTTTGACATTTATTTTTATTGTTAACTGTCTCAAACTAGAAAAAATCCAGTGATTGACTGATCAGACCTCAATTTTAATGCAAACCATTTTCATTGAGTTAATTTAATAGTCACATTTTTGTATGTGTATTTTTTTTATTTGCTTGTGTCAAAATTTTTCAATTTGTTTTGTTTTTTCTGCCTGATTCCTGTAATTTATCTTTGGTTTATCATCAATAAAAGGATACATTTTGATAGGGTGAGAAAAGAAATTCTAAAATTTCAATACTGTTATAATGAATTTCTGGACATTTTGATAATCAGGGATGATATATTTAAAAAGTATAACCATTTGGTATATGGTGCATAATTTGATTTTAGAAGTTGAAAAATATTTTCAGCAAGATAAATGAAAACTCTCACCACAAATGTTCTCTTTTAGCTTCTATATCTATCCTTTTGTTGAGATCTTTAAAACTCATTATATATATTACTTTGTTTACTATTTATGTATCATGAACCACATTTTATACGCCCACATGGAAATGTGGACATTATATTGCCTTTGGTCCATCCATCTGTTCACATTTGTTGCTACAGTTTTTATCCGATCTTGATGAAACTTGGTATGCATGTGTATATTGATGAGATCTCGGTCAAGTCTGATAAACGGTTTTGCAGTTATTGCCCATGACTTAGTAAAAAACGTGTCAAATTTTGCTTGTAGGCACAATAAAGACTAGTGTTTATCCAATCTTGATGAATCAAGATATGCATGTTTATTTTGATGAGATCTTTGTCAAGTAAGACATTGGAAATAAATAATCGGATGAACAGTTTCAGAGTTATTGCCCTCATGTGTACAGCAATGAGACATTATTCATGTTTGAATTTGATGATTATTTGATGAACTATTTCAGGTTTTTGCATTGACTTATAAATATTTTGAAGAGTTTTTGAAAATTCATTATTAAGCCATTAAAGATTTTGTTATCTCTGACAGCTGGCAGTGGGCATCTGTTAACTTGCTTTGCAAGCTATCTTTATTATAATTTAGTCACAATTACCAAAATATATATTTTTAAATATTCACATTGTAAAGTGTTTGATTTTTACTTTTTTTCTGTGTGCAATGTCTATATTTCAATCAAATTGGAGCTCTTGTAATTAAAATTGCCTGGAAATTTAATACAATTTGAGACAAATCTTGAAAAACAGATTTTGAGAAATGATCCTTCAAGAGTGTTTGAGTCTTTCAACATTTAACCCTTGAATCATTTATAATGAATCAAAGAGTATAAAACTCGGTAATTGCAATAATAATACAAAAGTTAAATTATTTGATCCCGATCCCCCTATGATGCACTTTTTGTTTTTAAAAATTTAGAATTTGAGTAAAAATTGAATATTTTAAATATAATTTTGTCTGTGATATGTTTGTATAATTTATTTTTTAGTATAATGGAGGTTTGCTCAAATCAACCTATTCAATTTGAAATAAATCTTTGGTGTTTCTGTAGTTATTTTCAATATTTACTCTTCCTTTTCCAAACCTGAACATATATTCAGGAGTATCAATACTGAAGATGGGGATATTTATGATGTGATAGAATTATCTAGTTCATCTATCAATCATTTCAAATAGAAACTACCTAAAATATTTCAACCAAACTCTGAAGCATACGCCCAAAAATATAGCCCTGTTCGGATGGAATAACGGAAAATTTAGAGACAAACAAAATGTCATGGATTAATACTGCAGCATGAGCTTTGATAATTCAATCAATTAAGGTCATTAAGGACACGGTAAGCATTTTCAAAAATTTTACATATAGATGGTAGAAAAAAGATAGTAGACCACAGCCTTATACGCCCACCACTGCATGCGTATGGTAAAAATGAAACATCCATTTTAAGTTTCATCAAAATCGATTGAAAACTAAGAGAGTAATAGCATATTCAAGATTTTGGGGCAAGGGGAATAACAGTCGAAAATATCTCAAATTCGAACTTGATCCTTGTTTTATGAATATGTATACACATACCGAATTTCATTTAATTCCTTCAAAAGCTCTAGTTTTTAGAGTTTACGAGCAATTGATGTTGATAGAAGCACTTACTGTATAGAGGTTAAAGGGCGATAACTCCTCAAAACTGATGTAAGAGGCCTAAGTCTTGAAAAAGCCTTTAATTTAATCAGAAGTAAACTAAACTTTCTCAAACCTTTCCATTTAGGTCCAATAACATCCATTTTAAGTTTCATCAAAATCGGTTGAAAACTAAGAGAGCAATAGCATATTCAAGATTTTGGGGCAAGGGCAATACCTCTGCTTCTAAGCTTCGAAAATAGACCAAATTCGAACTACATCTTCGTTTTATGAATATGTATACACGTACCAAATTTCATTTGATTCCATAAAAATTTTTAGTTTTTAGAGCGTTTACAAGCAAATGTTGAAGGACTGACAAGGGTGCCGACAATATATGTCCACACAGAGAGATGTGGGCGTATAAAAGGCAGAATGGAAGTCTATCTTCTTTTAAAATATTTGACAGAAATAATAGTAAGAGTATGTTTGAGTTATGAAAATGAAACAAAACAATTCTGCAGTATATTTTTTTTTACTAATGATACATGTATATATACAATGAAGTATGATAATGGTACATCTACAATAAGAATGAAATCTATAATAATAATAATAATAATGGTTTCTTGATTGATCTAATTGGGTTATTTTGAGGAATAAGTCATATCTGTAACTTAGCACTATAAATCTGATAAATTTTCATTAAAAATATAATTTGGAGACAAGACTTATTCCCTCAACATAACAAATTTGAGAATATTGCAAGTGGAAATACAAATGACAGTAATGTACAAAAATAAATAAAATGTAAAATCAATTTTATTTCATTTGATTGAAATAGATTTGATAGAACATCAGGTGGATTTGATAAAATAAAATAGAAATGGGTCACTTGGTTACATAATGTTTTTCTCTGTTTGACTGTGCCACATTTGATTTCACAACAATTTATTTCTGTAAAACCTTCACTGATATAGTTTTTTTTTTCTCATCCATTTGTTTCAAAATTATGACTTAATTCTAGTGCCCATTTAATTTTGTATAAAAAGGAAAGAGTAAAAATATTAAATAAAGTTACTCTGTAAAATAACACAATGTTGATAAAAACTAGAGCTCTACTACTTGTCAGGTTTTTTAACTGTAGGTTTATCTCCACGACACTTAGGACAGTACCACTTTCCTTTAGGTTTGTGAGATAAGTTAACACAATTGAAATGAAACCATTCAATTTCACATTTGTCATTGTCACATCCGATCATTTCACCGTAAGAAACCTGGTCACATAGACAGTACCGTGGTTCATCAGGGTCTATTGGAGGATCAATAGGGGAATCTGACCTCTCTTTCTTCACTTTCCTCTTTTTCTTCTTCTTTCCAATATGATTATCCTTTTAAAAAACAATATGATACATTATAAATAGATAAAAATGAAATCAAATTAAATATGATATTGGTCTAAATAAGCACCAATTCAAAATAAAGGTGTATCAGATCCCCAAGTGAAATAATTTTGTATACTTTACACTTAGTTAACAGCCAGTAAAACTTCCAACTAAGAGAGTATGATATAAAAGATGGTTTTTGGGAAAAATGATAGTTGGGAAAAGATAAAACTACCTTGTCTTCAATATCATTATTTTTCTGACGTCTCTGTCTTTTCTGTCCTGATTTTTCTATTTTTTCGTGATCATTATTTCTTATTTCTTTTCGTATTACTGAGTATTCTTCTCTATCTAATTCTCTAGGTCTGTGAGCTGAAGGATCTAAAAAAGAAAACCAAATTTAACATTATACAATGTATATCATAAAATTTTTATTTTACCTTGAAGCAATATAGATTGCTCAGTCTAATGTTTGCAAAATAAAATTTTAAAAAATTATTAGCCTACCCAAATTTTCTCTATCCATATCTAGTTGTCTCTGTCTGTTTTCTATTATATCTATTATGTTGGACATATAATGTAATTTTTCATCACCAATTTCTTGACATTTTATTAATGACCTCTGAATTCCTAAAAAAGCTTTATTTTTAGCAATTGTCTCTGATGCTGGATTTAAGTAAGTATCGTGGAAATGATCCATTTCTTGTAAAATATCTGAAATGAAAAATTATATCCATAAATTACAGCATCTAAGTATATCTGATGCAAAACAATGTTCCACTGTATGTCATTTGTATTCTGATGCTTTCAAGTCAATAGAAGTATAAGGTTTGAGGATTTAACATTTCAAATAAACACATTTCTCTAAGTTCTCTCCAACAAATTACCTGTGAAATTGGCCTATATTTTGGACTCGCCTCTACAAAATCGTACCTCCAAATACTAATTTTTTTATGGGTAAGCCTTTTGATCTACCAAAACACAATCTAAGACTCCCAGTAGTATTTTGGAGCTGATAGTTCCAGTAATGATTTGTCTTGTGGTCTGACTATCAATGTAAATTACGGGTAAAAATCCCTTTAATCATGAGTAAACAAATGGTTTCTTCAACACTAAAACAATCGTGGATCAATCCATTATAAACGAAGTCTATAATTATGTTAATATTATTGAAAACTTCAATTTATCGAAGAAGGTTACCTCTACATTGAATATCTAGTTCCCGCAGAGCTGTCACACATCTTTGTAAATCATCGGGTAAGCTCTCCATCGTTTCGAGGTAGTTTTCGAGATATGTTGCTGAACACAACGCCTCCACGGCGGCCTGATTTAGCATAGTCATTTTGGTCACAGCATCAAAGAGTTTCTTTCCTTCAAAAATCAACAATATTTATCCACTAACATTCGCAAAAATCGAAGTATAAAATACTAAAACATGAAACATTTCGCAAACCGCTGTTCAAATGTAAACTATGGCGGCTTAAAATATTGGAATTAACAGGTGCTTTCTCAATGAAAACGAAATATTGTGTTAAAAGATTTTCCATATTAACATCTCCACATTAGAATTAGATTCTGATTTTTATGATCCAACTTATATTTCTTTCTAGGTCTAATATTTTCAATCAATATCTTAAGGATAAAATATCATTTTAGTCGATTAAATTTATATTTTTCGTTTCGATCTGGGAATGACATAGATAGTTTAGAAAATTAATTCTTATTTGATGACCCACATCTTGTGGCCTTGAACTCTGACCCTGAACTCTTCTCTCATAAGCTTCTTGAAGCCAAAAAATTTCAACTTTTATATCTTTCTAAATAATCACCTTTGAAATGCTTTGTCAATTTTGTAGAAAAGGGCACTGCATTCCATTCAAGACAATTTCTGCACTTTTTCATGCCCAGAGGTCCAGTTGTCAGATTTATCAATTTAAAGACTTAAGTTCAAAGAAAGATGCTTCAATAAATCTGAAAGCTAAACAGAGTGAATGGGTAGAACCCAATGGGTTTGATAGTGGTGTTAAGGTTTGGAACAGCCTCACCAAAAAAGTCTCCCCTTTAATCTTGAAAAATGAAAATCAACTCTCATGGTAATTTCTCTTTTACCATATTGATTGAATTAGAAGAAAGGAATTAAATGAAAAAAACTGGATCAGTTTCAGTGAGAAGGCATGGCATGGGTCTAATCAAAAGCCATTTTTCATTTGGCACAACCAGATATGATAGTGAACACAACATAACATCATATTATTCTGAAAATTATTACAGGGCCGTTACCAGGGCCTTTTGTCTGTGAGGCAAACATCCTGTTGTTTCTCAAGTCAGTTAATTCTCTATCACATTGCTTTTTTTGAACTTCAAAGGGTAACCACCCTTACTGAAACATCAAATAAGCTATATATTGAGCAGATATTCTATTACAGGGACAAGTTCGCCATCCCTTTGACTGATCATACTTTAGTCTCAGAAACGGATAATTTTTTAGCTCTCCAGCGAAATTTGAACCTTCAAATCCAATTCTCTAATTATTCTAATTAATAGCTATAAGATAATTATTTGTTTTTCTTTAGGTACATGTGTGGGCCCACAGTGTATGATAGTGCACATATTGGACATGCCAGTTCTTATATGAGATTCGATATAATCAGAAGAATATTAGAGAATTATTTGATATTGATGTTCAGCTTGTCATGGGATTAACAGATATTGATGATAAGATAATTAATAAAGCTAATAAAGTATGTTGGGTTGATATATAGTTTTCCTATTTAACAGTTGAACTGTTGTCAAACAAGCTCTTGTAAGAGTGAAGTTGTGGAATAAGGTCTGATTTTTATTCCAACAGAGAATTATTTGCATCAATCCTTTGCAAATAATGGCCATTTTTTCTGTCCATCAATTTCATTAATTTAATTAAAAAAATAGTTTGTAGTGATTTAATTCCAGGATGAAAAACCCTTTACAGAAATAGCCAAGAAATATGAAGTGGAGTTTTTACAGGATATGAACAAATTGAATATTTTATCACCAAGCTATATTACCAGAGTCTCTGATCACATCCCACAAATAATTCAGTATATCCAAACTATACAACAAAAAGATCTGACATATCCTACAGATGATGGTAAATATTGATTTTCCTATATCGTGTTGTGCCTAATTTGAAGGATATCTGTTTCGATGGATGAATTTTCAGTAGCCAGTAAACACTTAGTATGTAACTGATGTCATCACTTTCAAGTTGAATATTTTAAACAAATAGTCAGCTTTCTTGTCAGTATACTGGAATCGAGCCCTGGCAGATTAACGGATTTATGCAATTATTTTTATAAAAATAATTCAAAATTTCCAAAAAAATTGATGAAATGTAGGAAAGTTGTATGCCACTTGGACGTCTTCTACACAAAGTCATGTGACTATCACATGTTTGCATCTATTTATTTATGAATTCTCGGCTGTCAAAGTTGATTCTTACTTTTGTTTATAACGAAAACACTCTATACTCTTTTAAAAACCATAATGCAGGCAGGCCTACAGATATTTAAATTTTGATGCATATTTATCTCCTTTTTTTTAAAAATTTTTTTCACTTGATAAACAGCTACTGAATTTTTTTGCTGCATATTAATTTTTTTAATGTTCAGATACATACGGTACATATTTGTTCAAGATTCCTTGACAGCTAAAAATTCCACATTTCTGACAATATATCTCTCATCGTGCTCTACTGTTTGACATTGTCTATTTTTATTACCACAATCAGAGTGAAAGTGATGGATATAATAGTCCACTCTGTCCATTTTATCCGCGTCTGAATTATTGTAGGAAGTGTATATTTTGATGTGATAAAGTATGGACGCTACGGTTATTTTCGGCCATATGTTAAAGATGAAGACTATAAAGGTTAGATTGATACTTTTTTCAGTTGATTCTGTTTTCCATGATGTCGATAACATCTAAAAAATATTTTGTGATGATTGTAAGATTTTGATTTTGATTATCATTCGAAATTCACATTTGAACAGTAAATTTTATATGAATAACTTTGGAAGTATTGTAAAGATTGTGCACTATTTCAGGTTTTAAAAAGCATTCAAGTGATTTTGCTTTATGGAAAGGTGCTAAATTGGATGAACCATTTTGGGAAAGTCCATGGGGTAAAGGCAGGCCTGGTTGGCATATTGAATGTTCTGCCATGGCAAGGTATGATAGATCAAGACTTACATTCCCACTGTTTGCGAGGCATATGGCTAGAATGAAAACAAAATAATTATACGATTTGATGTTCTGAACTTTTTCTAGAAAAAGTATACCATACTATGATTGATTATAGCTCATTTCACTTATAATGATTTGTAACAGACAAAAAAAAAATTAAATATAATAGTGATTAAATAAAATATGTAACCGGCCATTTGAGGGCAATATTTTAAAGGGAAAAATATCAAATTCTTGAATATTGTATTAGGTGAAAGTGTTCTATAATTATGTTAAGAATTTACTTTTTCTTTTTTCAGTGGTATTTTTGGTTCAAATTTTGATGTTCATTCAGGAGGAGTAGATCTAAAATTTCCCCATCATGAAAATGAAATTGCACAATCACAGGCGCATTATAATTGTCATCAATGGGTCAATTATTGGATTCACACAGGTAGGCTGTAATTCTAATTTATTAGTTTTATCAGAGTCCTATGACCTGATGATACCTGGTAATTTATAACCCTTTTCAGACTGGAAAATCAGATGCTAGATTCTCCATAGAAATTTTCAGAGTTATCAGAAATGTAAAAAGTTTGAATAAATTCCAGTTTAATAGTGATTGTGAAAGTGGGTATTGCTTCTAAGGTATAACACTTCTTACTATTTGATGGCTATATTTACTAGTGTGGCATCCATTATAGGAAGTCCACGCACTTTTTTTCAGGATATCTACATTTAAAAGGAGATGAAAACAAAATGTCTAAATCTTTGAAGAATGTTGTTGGTATTTCTGACTTACTAGAGAATTATACAGCAGATCAGTTCAGAATGATGTGTTTACTGACCGCATACAGACATTGTAAGTTTTACACACATGAAAAGTACTACCAACCCTAACTGGTATTTTCATAGTAAGTTTAATTTTAAGGTGCCCACACACCATAGTGATTACCATTTACGTATAGTTGTGAATAATGAAAGTGGTTATGAGTTTCTAAGGCAACACATAAGTAAAAAAATTTTACTTTAAAGTGATACTACGTCTTAGAATTAACATAAAATTTAAGAATTTTAAACTTGGCAAATATGAGCCAGTAGATATACCTGGTGTCATAAATAACATAACAGGATTCTAATATAATCGGATGAATCCAAAAAACTTAGTAATTATCCATAAATATGCATTTAACTATTGAAAAATGCTTAATATCAAGATCAAGATAATTTTTATGAATTTTCCAATTTTCCAGATTTTATAGGGATTCTGTTGTAACTTTATGACACCAGGTAAGCTAACTGATGAATATAGACTAATATTGACCTTTTCCAGAACTTAAATTGTATGTTCATTCTAAGACGTAGTATCACTTTAAGTTTATTAAAGGTTTTAAATATATGGACATTATGTTGAATGTTTTTCAGATTTAGAATATAGTGAAGATGTCATGACTAAAACTTCCACTAATTTGAACCAGATATTGAATTGTTTAAATCTATGTGATATTTATGTCAAAGGTCAACTTCATTGTAAGAGCATTGATGAGGTCCAGTTACAAAAAAGGTATTCATAAAACATCTTTGAAAGCTGGTTTTGGAAATGTGGACGTATATTGCCGTCGCCCTTGTCTGTCCTCCCACATTTCTTTTATGCACGATAAAGACTACAGCATGCATTTATTGACGATATCTTGGTCAAGTTCGAAATTGGTAATAATCGGATGAGCTTTATTTGGAGTTATTGCCCTCGACTTAACAAAACGTGTCCAATTTGGCTTGTAGGCACGATAGAGGTACAGTTTTTATCTTATCTTGAAGATTTCAGTCATGTTCTAAATTGGTAATAATTGTATGAATGGTTTCGGAATTATTGTTCTTTACTTAAGATTATTTGAAAATTCATTATTAAGTCACAACAGACTTTGTTATCATTTCTGATAGCTGTTAGTGGGCATATGTTACCTTGCCTGGCAAGCTATCTTTTTCACTTATTATATGATTATAGTTTGCAACTGGCAAACATTTGCATGGTTTATCGGTTTTTATTTTATTATTTTAGAATAAATGATTGCAGAGTGTCTTTTAAAAAGCATTTAGCCAATGATTTTGATACTACTAAAGCTTTTGATGATATGTTTGAGTTAGTGAAGTTCTTGAATTCTTCCCTGTCTAAAATAGAACAGGTAGGCAACAGTTTAAACATGATACCTTGACAAGTTATGTTTTTTAACATTAAAAGAGACTTATCCTCTTAACCATGAGGGATTACAGTTATATCTAGTTCAAAATGATTCTAAAATAAGTTTTTTTGCCATTTCAATGACTTGCATCACTGAAAGAGGTTATTGATGAACATTGATTGAGTAATATTGACATTGTTAAAGACCCTAACACAATTGAAATTGAAGTAAAGCATCCCTGTATACGTCATGGCGTTTAATTCTTACTCAATCTTAGATTTCCAAATCTAAATTGATATCCAGTTAAAGAACTGCAATGTGAGTCGTGACTATGTAATTTTATAATTATTTTTTAGGAAGATGATCATATAAGATGTCCAGCAACAGTGGCAGCTGCTAGTTTATTTATTAAATCAACTTTAACAAAGTTGGGTTTTGATCTAGCAAATCAAATGGTAATGTTTTTAAAAGTTTCATTTGTACAAATGCGTGCAACCTTTTCATGAATCTAAACAACTTAGCAGTGACCTTGCCCATATTTTCCTAAAGCTCTTTTCTTAAGATGAACAGTTCTTATATTGGATTTTATATTTTAAATGTGTTGTAGCAAAAATGAAATTACATTGCTTCCAACTTCATCTAGTCTTAACCGAAGTCTTTGTGCATGAGGCCTTAAATTAAAGTTAACCTCCATTCAGAACCAGTCAAGCTCTTGACCATTAACCCTTTAAACTGTAGCTGCAAGAATGCACTTAAAATTTTATTTCCAGTCATCCAGTAAAGGTGGTGATATGTTATTATTAAATAAAGCTATGGACAATTTGGTTGATCTACGACTTACTGTAAGAAAGTTTTGTCTGGACCCTCCTGCACAAATATTCACAGGTAATGTATTATATTATTGAAAATATAGTCAATCAACGTTTAAGATTATGCTTACCAAGCATTTCACTGGATATTTCTATGATAAGGAATGAATAACACTATTGGTCAGTACCTTTATAAGGATTTGGTTGGTTGTCTACAGATTTTGAAGAATTCAGATTCTGGTCTGTGATTGTTCACAATTATTTTGTATATTTGTATCAGAGCCTCTAGAAAATAAGAAATTAGAAAAGAAGAGAAGAAAAGAAGTATTTTCACCATTATTAAAGAAATGTGACACGGCTAGAGAAGATTTAAAATCTGTTAATATTTCTATCAAGGTGTGTAAAGTGTCATTCCTTGCAGGCAGTGGTGTTGCAACGTTGCCAGCCTAAAGGAACTGGGGGTACAAATAGGGGGCATACTAACTTGATGTGAAAACAACTGTTGGGTATGAGATTCCAAAATGCAGATCCCACCAGAAATATTGTATTGGACCAAAATGTATATACTCTAGCTCATTTTTTGAAAATTTCTTACTATATTTCATGGGGAGCAAATTCTAGCAGGGTGAGCTTGCATGACTGCTCATTTGGCAACTTATATTTATAATCCTTAAAGAAAGCACTATTGAAATATGAATATGTTTGCTTATTAAGTAGCTGATATCTACCTAATAAAATGTAAAATATTGGCATTTAAATCTAATGTCCAAGCAAATTTGTATTGAAAAAAAAAATGGACAATTCTTTTGATCAGAATGATGCTTAACTGTTGTCAATTAAATTTCAGGATTTAGGAAATGATTCTTCCTGGTTGATAGAGAAAAAATAAAATGGACACATATATAATGTTTGGTGGAACCATCATTTAATTTAAACAATCTGTGCTATTCACGTCTCCCTTGCTCATAAAATTAAACCAATGGCTCTTCATATCTTATGCCTTATTGGGAGAGAAAACTGTCTTTTCATATTAAACCCAAAACTCTAATAATGATCATTCTATAGTACTCTCAATGACCACATACAAAGCATTTTGTGTAATTTATGTTTGGCTGAAAAGAAACAAAATATATTCAATGTGTAAGATTTTTTTTATTTGAATAACACTGGTATTTACTCTGTATATTTATTTTTTTTTAACAATAAAAAATGAATCATAGAATGTTGAGACAATGTTACAAATAGAGGCACAAAGTAGAATTCTACAAACTATCTGATAACAATAAACAGGTTTTTCTTAAACAGTAGTTAATTGTATGTTATTTCAAAAAATCTTAGAAGCCAGTTTATCAATAATTTTAGTTCTCAAGAATTCTGTTTGGTCGATCACTAACTTTAAATTCAGTTATAGCAACCAATCAAATATACTATATTTCTGGCACCACAAAACTTATATTTAGATTTTGTAAACACTGACAATTGACAAGATGAGTCAATTTCAATTATATCATGATACACTTCCTCCACAAATAAACTGATATTTCAATTGAGAATTTAACTTTTTGGACGAGAAGAGCATCATATAGAGTTTACTCTTTTTTGACAGTTGATCTTTAATTAAAACCACTCAACACACCAATAACTCTATATGTGGTTCAATATATATGAATGTGGTTTTATTCTCAAAATAAAATAAAATTATGGTGAACAAAATATATAGTTTGGAGTATTGAAATAGCAGGTAACAAGACACAGTTGTCAGTTAACATTGTAAAGACACATACATGAATCTGTGAAATAAATAAAACACTAACACATAAATTTGATAAGACGTAAAATAAACCCAATACCTCTTTTCATAAACCCAATATCTTACATGAAAGAAAATAAAATATTCTCAAATGTATCATGATCTAGTCCAGCTTTGTCATTTTCACCATTTGAGAAAAAAATTAAATGATATAAATTTGTTTCCCTATTATTTTGGATCTGTCTCCATTATAATCTTAAATGGTTTATACCGAATTCGCATACTGTTGCATTAATTTCAACTAATCACATGTCATGCAGAATCTGTGTCTAAATATTGAAATAGCGAAAACCAAAGTAGAGCATTATAGCCAATGAGATTATGAGACTGCCTTTACACGCTTGTAAAAATGAGAGTTGTTAGAGAATAGGGAATAGCTTTGAAACTTATTGTTTCAATATAGATTGAGGTAGTGATTGGGAAAATATAAATAAAAACTTTACAAACCTGGTATAAAACAAATAATCAACAATGTAATTATACAAGAAAGAACATCTGCATATATCCTCTAACTTTAATAATTTTAATTTAAAATAGCAAGAGCATGTAAAATAAGCAATTCAATTAGTAAGCAACCACTAAAAGCATCCAGCTGGTATTCATGTCCTCTTGCATTTCGTAATATGGATTTCAGGAAAAAAGGTTAAAAAAAAAAAAAAGATTTGGGACTATTCTACCTTGGAGATTTGTACTAGATTTCTATTTATCATGACACATTGTAAATAAAAACCAATGCATATTATAATACAATAAACACATTCTATTTATGTTGTATATCTAGTTTTATGATCAGTATTTACTATTCATCTATTGAATAACACAAATCATTTAGAGATTAAGTACTACTGGTATATATAAACTATAATAATAAGCTTAGTAGGTAATCTCCAGCTTAGAATATTTACTATAAAAGTAAAGTTGTTTAAAAGTGTAGAGTTTCTACATTTGCATGCATATTTAAAATCAAAGACAAGGTGACACGTGAATTGTTTTAATAATCTCTTAACTACATAATAAAGCTCTATTAAAATTGAAGGTATATTACAAGTCATTGCTGGACTGTATTCCCCAATATAGCTAATGATATTAACAATTAAACAAGATAAATTAATACATGTATATTGAATCTACCATCTTTCATTCCAATCTGGACGTTGACTTCTCTTGGCACTTGTTGGACGCCTAAACGTAGACTGGGTAGAGGAGGCAGCACTATGAACACTTGTTAAACTTCTCGTTCTAGATCCCATTCTAGAACTTGATGTCATTGACATTTCATCCCAGGGTGTACTAGAACGAGATTTAGGTCGGGTGCCATGAGCCATTGATATAGGAACACCATATAACATTGTCTTTTCATATTCTCTTTCATGTTCTGCCTTAGACATGCCCTTTGTAGGTTTAATATTCTTTAATCTTCTTAAAAATGCCTGAAACAGAAAGGGGGCAAATTTTACTTATTCTTCACTGGTAAACTGGGCTGTTAGATTTTCATTGTGAAAAGTGGTTCAACAGTATAAACTGAAGATTACATTTTATTAGGCAACTGCTAATGTGATCCCTTTAAAGTTGACTTTAAAAAAGAATTGTCATAGGCACCTTTTTTCTCAAGAAAACTACAGTGTATTCTTTTAACAATTCCAATAAATTCTTTATTTAAGTAATTATGGCTGATTATAAGCCTACATAGTTACTAATGATGATTAATGGTTGTTAGTTTCCTAAACACTTATCAATCCAGATAATCAATAATCATTACCCAGAATCGTATTCATGTTCCCACATTCAGTTAAGAAACTAATTAATCTATAGTACTGGTGTGTGTGTGTGTGTGTATATATATATATATAGGTATTCATTACAAATATCAAAACAACTCATTATAATAAAACAGTACAGGTATGACTATAGCAACCAATAATATACAATGGAATTTATTCTAAGAATTTTCAATGTTTCAAGTTTCAAATATTGCATTAGTCAAAGAAATTATCTGAAACCATTAATTTTCTTATGGGTTTTAATGAAAATCTCTCAGCAACAATTTGCTCCTATGAACAAGTACAGACTCATTGTTGATATCCTGAGAGCAATCTATCACAATAAATTTTCATAAAGCATCATATTGTTGAATAAGTATTGTAAATAAATCAAGGAATAACTTAATTTGGTTGTCCAATGTTATGCATGTGTGGCAAATAACCTCACCATGAACTGACACTATAGCTTAATAATCATGAAGAAAAAGATAGCTTGCCAGGCAAGGTAACATACGCCCACTGGCAGCTGTCAGAAATGATTAAACAGTCTTTAGTGACACAGGGTTGCACAATATAGCTAATAGAGTAAAACGTCAGGTCAGACACGATATTTCGGTGAAAAATTATCCGATCATGAAAATCGATAGACCATCATGAAAATCAATAGGGATCATCTTCATAACGACATAGACATACAAAATAAAAATCAAAAGAATCTGTAAAAAATTGTAGCTTGTAGAGTGAGCACGAGTTGCACAATATAGCTAATAGAGAAAAACGTCAAGTCAGACACGATATTTCGGTGAAAAATTATCCGATCATCACGAAAATCAATAGGGATCATCTTCATAATGACATTGACACACAAAATAAAAATCAAAAGAATCTGTAAAAAATTGTAGCCTGTAGAGTGAGCACGAGTTGCACAATATAGCTAATAGAGAAAAACGTCAAGTCAGACACGATATTTCGGTGAAAAATTATCCGATCATCACGAAAATCAATAGGGATCATCTTCATAATGACATTGACACACAAAATAAAAATCAAAAGAATCCATAAAGAACTGTAGCCTGTAGAGTGAGCACGAGCCAAATGTGAACGGACGAACCGACGGGGTGATTACAATATACACCCATCTTACGTGTGGGCGTATAAAAAGGGTTTAAATGCCATGTATGATTTAGGATTATCAAAACATATCCATATCTTATCCGTCATAAGAGTATATGCATAATAATATACTGAATGCATATATATTATATAACAAAAATTGCAAGGGAATATATTATAATGGTATTCTAATACAATTCTTAATAATTAAGTTCATAACATTTCAACACAATTTACATGTGATGTTATGTATCTTGTTATTAAAGAAGTGTATTCCTTTGTATTTTCTAAACGTGTTTCAAATTTTTTTACTTTGTACCTGTTACTTACCAAATTTTCACTTTCTATTTTACGCTGTTCTCTTTCTCTATTGATAGCTGAAGGTGTCAATCTTCGTATCACAGGTTTTGTACATCTCATATGTTGTGGTGGTTTATCACGCATTTCAACATGCTGTAAAATTTCATTTAAAAGTCTACGATTTTCTTTTTCAATCATATTTGCTCTCTCGTTGCTATAAGAATAATTTTCTCTTTTATCACCTGCTTTAGGTGGTGCAAACATAACCCTGCGTGTATTGGCTTTGATTCTTTTATCTTTATCCAATTCTGACACAGCATCTACTAAAATATTGAGATCTAATCTTTCTGCCTCATTGAAAGATTCCTCATTAGAACCTGCACATCCATTGCTTTTATTGTGCGATGCATTTTTCTTATTCCTTTTCTTTTCTCTTGGACTATTTGGCGCTGAATTCAGAGGTGAAACGTCAGTTATTTCACTCTCTGAGTCAGAATATTTTTCTTTCTTAGATCTTCCTTTCCTTGACTTTTTATCACTAGGTCTTTCTACATCCCTTTTCTTTTGTGATCTGTCCAACCCATTTGTCCATGCATCTGTATTCTGGTTCCTACATGAATTTTTGGATGTCATTGGTCTTTCTCTGCTTTTGGAACCAGAGGAAACATGCACTGGTTTCGATTCAGATTCAACATCCGAATTAGAGTCTGAATAGGCACTTGCACTATCTCTTTCACTTTGAGACTTTTTGGAATCATTTTGTTTTCTCTTCTTGATGTCACTTGATGTTTGAACGGAGCTTACTTTCGAGAAACTCTCAGAATCACTTTCTGATTCAGAGAATGATTCTTCACTGGATGAGGCACTTCTCGAATTCATATCATTTTTATTATTTTTTTTCACAGAGTCTGCACTTTGTTTTGTTTTTGACTCATAGCGTTTTCCATGTCTGTCATCTCCACTATCTGAATTACTGTCAGTGTCTGACACAGATGAATCTGAAGTGTAACTGCTATAACTGTCACTATCAGTCTGATCATCCTTCTTTTCTGATGTTTTTAAATCTAAAGAAAGGTCAGGATCTGGTAGTTTTGACGGAGTAGGTGGCTTGGGAGATTTCCTTGCAGCAGGTGGTTTCCCAACTACGGCATCTTTTTTGGGTTTATTTTCACCATCACTGTCATCGTCAAAAAAATCAAAGTCTACTTCGCCTTTAAATTCATCTAATCCCCTATCATCCATCTTAACGAAAGTACCGTTTACACACGTTTTTCACTATCACTCATTTCAGAAAAGAAAAGCGTTCAGCTTGCCGACAATGTTTTCTAGCAACTGCAATGGCGTCACGATCTCGTGAATTTCGAGAAATAACGGGATCTCGTAAATGTCATATAGTCTCAGCCAAGATTGGGTTCTATTTCCAAATTTACAGTTATGATTCGATCAACATCTCTGCTAGCAACTCATTACTAGAAGAAACATACCAATTTTATTTCAAAAGTCTGACAATAATTATAACTGACTGTCACATGAAACAGGTATAAATTGTTAATCTGATGATTTCAATTGTACCTCGATGATTTCTATTTTCGCGCACTTGTTTGAGTTCGATTATCAAGTCTTAAAATTCATGCCGACTTTAATATTGAGTACTCTGTCAACAAGTCCGACATCATGCTAACTATGAAAACATTTTTAAATGTGGTCATCTTTGTAAAATTGAATGCAAAACATGCCTGTTGAATTTTGAATCCTTGAATGAAGTAGCCTGTAGTTTTATGTTTACGGGGTCATTGATATTAGATTATGTAATTAGATCTAAAAGAGTAAAGTAAAAAAGCAAGGATGACTTTTATTCACGAAAGTAATCCTCAGTGGCTTTCCCCAGTTACAGTGGGGAAATTAGTTTAGAAATTAGGGCATATTTCGCCCCCCTCAGACGTAAACCTCGCTCCACCACTGATAATCCCTTGGTTTGGCTTTGGCTGTACTAATGATAATATTTCTTCTAACTTTAAGTTTTATTTTTGCCTTTCTTGCATGCATGCTTGGTCTTGCATGCATGCTTGTCTTGTAATGAAATTGTGTTGGAGAATCAATGGAAATCACTTAATCATATTCGGGTTGTAGCGTAATAAAACAAATGGTTGCCTTGCAAGATACGCCCACTTTCCTGATAAATTATCAGTGTATTTAGGGCATTCTCCAGTCTGTGTCAAATCATACCAAAATCTATTTGTGCAAGATATTGTTGATTTAAACAAATGTACATTATTTAATAAAATTCTGACATAAACTGTCACCTCTATTGCGTTCAAATCTAGCCAACAAATTTTGATGCATTTTTAAGTTGAGGGTAACAACTCAAATTCTGTTGATAAAAAAATTGTCAAATTCAAACTTAACCAAGGTCTCATCATTATAAATGACCACACCAAATTTCATTTAAATCAGATGACAACTGCCAATTGAGGAAGGACGGATAGGGGCAACGACAATTATTATTATAATGTGGGCGTTTAAAAAATGGAGATAGAGATGGACATTTGTTGTATGTTATAGGTTCCACATTCAAGGATTACAGTCACACAACTACATTTAGTAGTTTGGGTTCAACCATACAACTCTATGGGTTCTACTCATTTACATAGTCTTTATGCCTAGTCTAGTATATATTAATAAAGTGATTTCTAAGGTAATCTGATCAAACTGTAAATGTTAGATACATTTATAATATTTTTGTCCACCTCAGTCTTAACTTGATGATTGAAAGGTTTATTTTTATGTATGAAACTGATAAAAAGGTCTTCCCAACAGGCCAATAACTAGGGATCGCAGGGCGGGCAGTTCCCCCCACGCCCCCCTGGAATGTGGAAATATATTTAAACCCCTGCAAAATTTGAACAAATTCTCAATTGAAGCTGAAATCAGTCTCTTTTGCCCATGTAAATGTGTGGCATATTGGGTTGTAATGGCCACAGGCCTGCTTCCCATAGTAAAGCTTTGGCATTCTGACCTCCATGCTGCATTTTATCAGCAATTTATTATTTCCTTTCAGGATGAAAACCCAAAAGAACTACACCACTCAAAATGTGGCAAGTTACACAGTATTTTATCAGGAAAATCGACCAAAGATGACTTCAAAATATCCTTTCTTGACAGCAGATCAGATTAATTGTCGACTGAGAGATCAATGGAAAAAATTAGCCAAGAAGGAAAAGAAGAATTTTGCTATCCCAAAAGTTTGTGTCACACCCAGCAAAGTAAATACTGGAATAAAGAAAAAGGTTAAAGCTGAAGACCAGGAACTGAAAAAATCTACACCTAATAAACCACTCTTTTGTGAAGAAAATCCAAAAATAGCAAACTTGATACTGTCTAAGACTCTGAAACAAAAATCTGTAGCTGATTGGCTGGATACAAACAAGCAGAAATTGGCTGAATCCAAGACCTACTCTGGTGTTGTTAACCCTGTCAAAGATGTTCCTGAAGTTTATGATAGAACACCTCACCTGAAGACTGGGATACTTAAAAATACAGAAAGGTGATTATATCTTAAGTTTTAAGATAAGGAATTGAAATTGGTGTGCATGTACTTTTATGTAAACTTGCATGAAAATTTTCTTTGAAATTACTGTACTATGTATGAGCTCTGCTGCTGCATTGTGTCGTATAAAACAAAAGATCTATACTGGTACTCAGTAATCAATATTATTGCTTTATAAACCTTTGGGTTTCAATTACTTAATGGGCATTATATTTTTCAGATCTGTGTCACTAGAGAAGTCCAGACAAGAGGGTAGAACTCCAGCTAAAGTTACCTTTACCCCTATTAACAAGCAGGGCAGGAAATTAGCAATAGCTAACAGGTTTACAGATGATTTCAAAACTGGTAATGAAAGTAACTCCATGGAGTATATTCAACCTAAAAATCTAAAACACGATTTTGAGATTGATGAAGATAGACAGTCAGAAGTTCAGTCTTATACATGTGATTTTGATGATGGTGGTGATGAGGATGAAAGCAATGAAATAGATAGAGAAGATTATAGTGATAGTGATGATGATAATCTTCTTCATTATCATCATGAGAATGATGAAGATGATACCCAGCAAACAGAGGAATCAAATCCCAGAACCCCTATCTCCAAACCAGTCTCTCAAACTTGTAAAAACACTGATCAAATTGTACCAAACTCTTCTGATGCTTCTTCAGAAATTTGTACCACTGCATCCAGCACACCAAAAGCATCAAAGGCACCAAAACCACTAAAGAATGGTTTGACTACACCAAGTCAATCAAAACGCACCCTTAGACCACGTAAACGAAATACATCACAAGAAGAAAATGTTGTTGAAATTCCAAGTTTTGAAAAAGGAATCAGTCCAAAAATGTTTGGCCTTCATAAAGAAAGGGGGAATACAAACCTAGCAAAATTGATTACTGGTGATCTGAACCACCAAGAAGAAAAGCAGCTTCTTGTATTGGGTGATCCTTACTACCAAGATGGGCAAAAACTTGTATTGGATGGTAAAAAGCTAGTAAAAGAAAATTTGAAGGCTTGTCAAGTTCCAAATGTCAATCAGATGAAAGAAATGGAAACAGAACATGTAAAAAAATCAAATAGAACAAAGAAAACTGGTAGAAAAGATAATAAGAAGGATGACAATAAAACAGCTGGTGATGAAGAATTGGGGTGTCGTAGAACAGCTAAGAGAAAAACCAGAAATAAGAAACCAGTCTATGAAAATAGCATCTTAAGGGAAAGTGGAGATTTTGATGATTTGGGCAATATCACCAGCAAGAAGAAGATGAAGACTAAAGTGCTGCCTGGTTTATTTGATGAGTATGATATTGAATTGATATCTAAAGAAGAATGCATCAAAAACCAAGATAAACTGATTTCTGAGTTTCCAGCTTTTCAACATTGTGAAAACAAAATGAAAAACAACCAAAAAGATGATTTCAAAAGTGGAATTGGTTACGATTTGAAAAAACTTGTAACAGAAAAATTACAAGATAAAAATGAATTAACAGGAAAAGCTTTGGACACGATTAAAACCATGATATCAACACCTCAAAAATCCAATTCTAAGAAAACAAAAGAGAAAGAAAATCTGAAGAATAACAATAACATTATTGATAATGAATTTGAAGATATTGACATAATCCTGGAGGATTTTGATGAACCTGTTACAGAGGTCAAGCAAGACTTTGTGGACATCAATAACAATTCAAGTGAGAATCTGGATGAAAAAGAAGATACATCATTGTTTGGGCTGAAATCCTTCACATGTTCTTTTAAGTTGGGAAAGCCAGATTCCTTTTCATCATGCTATGATGATGATACTGAGTATGTTGAGGATCAGCTAAGCTGTTCCAATGGTAATAATACCCTACAGAAGATACTGTCAAGTTTACGTCAGATTGGATCCCAATCCAGTGTTGAAGATGAAGAGAGTAACATTTTAGATGCAGATGATGAACCAATGGATGTTGAGGAATCTCCAAAAATTTTATCACCAACTTTATCTGGAGTGTCAGAAGTAAGTTTTCTGCAATTTTTACATCTGGTACATACTGAGACAGATATGAACTTACCATAGCTATGCAAGTAGCCTATCCAGGTCATGTATTCTCGAAATGATCTTAGCGCTAGATGTCCTAGAATCAATGTTAGAAGATAAGAACCTAGGACATCCTAGCGCCGAGATCGTTTCAAGAATACGGGGCCTGGGTTTTATCCGTATTTGTTACATTACATTAATACCTTTCAGGCTACTTGTTAGCAATAGAAATTACCATATTTATTCAAATTTTGTTGAGTATTTAAGAGATAGCATATTTTTCAGCTTTCAAGTTTATCAGAAGTAGAACACAAACTAGTCGACAAACCTGGAAAGAAAAACATATTAAAAGGGAGAAAACAACCAAGTAGAGTTAAAAAGGGAAAAGGGAGTGAAACTGAAGAACTGCAAGATGAGGAACCTCCTGAATTTCATGATGTCAACAACAAGGTAAGAATGGCAGAATCTTTTCACATTTAATAATAAATTCCTCTAAAAGGAATGATATAAAAGGAGCTCAAAATAGTAATTATGTAATCTAGGTATTCACTCAAAATTTTCTAAATGTGGGTCAATTAAAAAAGCTTATTTCTATTGCCACAAAGTTTAATAAAAAAAAATGATAGTTAATGAGTTTTTCTTTTATATGTTAGGTTATTCCAAGAGGTGAAATTTGTGAAATGTTTGATGAGATTTCTCCACCAAATAAAAAGTTCAAGAAAAGTAAAGAAAGAAGGTATGTATTAAAAGAAATTATTCTCTTTACATCTAATTCTAATAAAATTGTTATGCAAATTGTGTTGATTCCACTAATTTTCTAAGATATATTTCTATTGATACATGTCAAGAATATATGAATATTGAAATATTGCTTCCTTACAGGCAATATTATTATTGGGCTCGAACAACTGTTTCTGATTTGTGCACTATATTAGGCTGTCGACACCAAACATTAACTTATCTTTCACAGATTCGTAGCGAGTAATCAACAGGCTGGAATCAGTAATTTTGATGTTTTATTCCATGAAGAAGATATCTTCCTTTAAATTTTTGTTGTTACATTTCTGTTACTTTATTTATTTGTTGAGTTGTTTGTTAAAAGTTAAAAGGGCATTAACGGTTGAAATTGTTAAATTATTTTTTTTAATTCAAGAATTTTAAATTAAAAAAAAATGTTCATTTTTAAATATGTAATAATTAAAAGTCATAATATATATCCCTTTACTGTTATTAAATTGTTACTCATTAAATATTTACCATTTTCAAGAAAGAAAAATAAAACTACATGTCTATACTTTCCACGTAAAACCACTTTAAATTTCTTTTGGTTGGTTAAATGTTCTGTTTTGATTGTAATACTAATTTGCATGGTTTGTTTATTTCATTAAGCAGAAGATAAACTGCATAATAATGTTCAGCAAAAATCATATTTCAGTGAAATATTGAAAAGTAAACCTTATTTTGTTTTGTTTGAATATTTTGTTATTTTTTGTTTATGGTTCATATTAAAATCTGTTTGTTGGCAATTAAACCATAAAAATATAAATGGTTGACCTGTATAATTGATCATGTGGTAAATTAAAGCTGTTAAAAAGAGTACAAAAACAAAATCTATTACAGGAAAGAGAAATTACCACATGCTTGTGATCTTCTGAAATTCAGTTACAATGCACTTCATTAGCTTATTTTCATCAAGTGGTCATAAAGATGATAGTCAAACAATGTTCATTTTTATGTAAGATTTGTCACAGAATATGCATAAATAAGTCTTTTTTTTAATAATTTTATGTAGTAATGAACTCAATATAAGTCTGTCTTCTTCTGTGCCAATAACCAATCATTTATTTCGATTATATTTTTTTGTTTTATTTCAATTACTGGTGATAAGTATTCTAGTCATTGTTGTGTAAGAAATATTATTTGAAGATTGGTGTTAAAATTGTAAATGATTATCATTTTAAAATTTCAAGGAAAATTAAAAGGATTTTCATAAAACAATTTATGGTTCTGAACATTTTGTGAAATTGAAAGGGTACCTTATAAATGAATCTCTTCTACTTAAAACATTTTTGTAGTTCATGTAGCAGTGAAATTTGATCTAAGTTTAACAAATTTTTCACAGTATGATACCTATTTCTGAAAAAAAATCAAAATCCATTTAATTCACCATTTTATGTTCAATATTCCATTTTATGATTGTTTGTGATCCTATTGAAAACACAATTTGGGTTGAATGGTGTTACATAGTGGAGTCACAGATGTCGAACATAATATCAGAATGGTACAATTGGTACAATGTTCCTAAATTCTTACGTATACTAATCTTGAACCTTGATAACTCATGTCCACAAATGAGAAGAAACAATGCGACAATAATATTTTTTGCAATAATTAATATTCTTCATAGAAGAAATATCATAAATTTCCACAAAAGGTAAAATATTCATATACACCATATTCAATTATCTCGGACAATATGAAGTTACATTTCAGACACTTTTGTGCAAAAAAAAAAAAAAATACGAAAAGAAGTACTGGTACCAAAAGAGTTCTAATTTATATTACATATAGTAGCATTGAGTTCAGTGTTAAGAAATGCTACAGCACAGACTGCCAGATTAACATTAACGCAAATCTTCAGACACTATTTGACCTATTTGTATTGAATTGAATTCCAATCACAGATATTTTATATATTCAACTGGCAGTTGACATTGCCATTCACTCATCTGAATAATACTGTTACTTTCTGATCTTCACCAATAAGTCCACCTTAATCAAGTCTTTCAACAGTTTTCGGGATTGATATTATTTATTGTTGATTAGTTTATTGACAGTTATTTCTTGGAACCTCCAAAACCTGAAAATCCCATTAATGCTGCCATATCTTGATCCCCTTCTTCTAAGTCTGTATCAGCTTTTCTTTTTCTTTCTTTCCTTTTTTCTTTCTTGTATGCTTTCTGTTTTTCCTCCTATAAAATAATGATAAACCATACAGTTCATGTGGAACACTTTGTGAAGATAATGATGATGCTACTGTAACCATGTTACTACATCTGGAATAAAGTTTGCTTTATCCATGATCTTCCTCATCTGTCTTACCTGGAGAATTGAAGACTAACAACGTTAAACTTGTTAGATATAAAGAACGACTTTAAATTTACTTCAAAAATAAAAAAATTGGTCAAGTTTGACAGGTCTAAAATTGGTAACCATGTGTCTTAACTCACTGTTCCTCTAGTAGAAAATCTCTAATAATTATGCAATAACATATTTAACTACCTCCTCTTTGAGTTCTTTCATTCGTTCTTCAAAATCATATTCTTTACTTTTTTCTTCTTTCTTCTTTTTATTCATCTCAAACCTTTTCTTGACTTGATCCAAAGAAGATCTCTCGATCTTCATGGACATTCCCAAATTTCTTTGATCTAAATTGGATTAAATAAATTACTTCTCATTTCCAACAGTTCAATTTTCCATTCTATAAGACAGTTTTTCATCAAATAGAAAATTCTAAAAAAAAAGTCAAAATTTCATTTAAATTTAAGATTACTTACGTTTTTTGCCATTTATGTGGTCTAGGAAATTAATGCTGTCTTTGACTACACAATCACATACATTGCAAAAATATCTGAAAATACAAGTGCATATCGCATATGATTTAGGTTTTGTTTAAAAGAGATATACTTGTCTTAGACCACACAATCAAATTGATTGTAAACCTATAAGCTTATAAACCGAACTGGTAATTGAAATGTTAGGTAAGTTCTTCAGGAGCTTGGCTAATCATATACGGTACTGAAATTGAAAGCAGTGATGGCATAAAAACAAACTTACCCTCCTTGTTGGAACGCTGGAGTTGTTTTTGTTATAACCTGAGATTTTCCTAGTTTCGAATCTAAATCTACCTAAAAACAAAGAGAGAAAAGTAGCTAAATGTCGATTCATGAGAAGATTTAAAGCAATAAATGGAATGTTAATTTACCTGTTAGTGTATTTGAATTTAAAGACATACATAAGTTTCATTTGTAAAAAATGAAAGCATAAATACCTTGTAATCACGAGGTTGAAGGAGCTCTCTCTTGACTGGTATTTCTTTATCAGAGGTTCCCAGCTCTTTAGCCAACTCCTCTTCCAATCTTTCTTTGGCAAGCTTTTCATATTCATCTAAATCCCACTTCTTTCTATGATCTGAGGGGGTTTTCTGTGAAAAAAAATTCAATTTAATTACTCCAGTTATCTTTTGATCTTGATTTTTTTTTGCTCATTTTTCTATGTTATCAGCTATTATCAGACCCCTGTTCCATTTAACAGGTCAAGGTCTGCTATGCAGTAACAATTTCAGTCAGGATTCAAGCATATTTCTGAAAAGGGGGAAACCACCTCTTGCTCATGCATTACTGCATTAAAAACTGACGTGGTAAATATCCACTGCCGAGTAGAATAATAGGCCTGTATTAATAAGCCTATATGCTTGTACCTTCAACTGACCTCTCCAGCTACTCGATCAAATATATCACAAGCACATTAAGTCAAAAGTAAATTTCTTCATTAAATTTATTTATTTACCTCGTACGCCATCTTGGTTTAGTTTGGTAGTAGTTACCTACAGCATAAACGTATTAAACTCTATAGGTATATGTAATTGTTAAGGCACGCAGCGAATCAAATTAGAATTGAATCCCCAGATTGAAATCATAATGTTTTGTTATTGCCATTAATAGCACATCATTTTAGAGATGTAATCGTATTTGACAAAAATTGTAAAATATTTTCTTTCACATTAGCAAAGTGCAATCAAATCAATACGCATGCGCCATAAATGTCAACAAAAACATAGTACGTGGAAGACGAAGTAAACATATTTTTAATTTTGATCAAAATTGTTCATTAGAAAGTTCCAATCGACCTGAAACCGTTTAACAACTGTTAATTAATTAATATAAAACCAATGTGCAAGTAAACAACACTTGTACAATTTCAAGTGCCTGACAATCTTTATAAATAGACTAAGTAAATACCAAATGGAGTTTTACGTCCTACTTACCTGCTGTTATTAGAACCGACTAAGAATAAGCCAGTTTGGAACTATATGTCTGTATGTGTGCAGCACTCTTATTTCCTACTTCTACCTCGACATAACCAACATCGATTTTTAATTCTTATGTTATTTTTTAGAATTTTAAATCAAAGATGTCAGACTCTGATGATGATGCTGCATTTGCTAGTGCTGATGAGGGGGAGGCTCCCCAAGCCACAGCATCAGTTCCTTTAAAACGATCCAATAAAAATGATAATAAGCCAGTACCCCAGAAAGCTCAAGCTGCCAGTAAACCTGAAACGAAGGGTAAAAATAAAAAGAAGAAAAAAGGAGGAGGTGGAAAGAATTCTTCACACGAACTTAAAAAACAACCTCCCAAAACCACATCGGATACTAAATCAACAGAAGAAGTATGTGTATCAGAAAAGGAAAGACCTGTTAATAAATCTTTACCAGAAAGTGACACTCAAGCCTCAGAATTATCATCAAATGCCAAGAGTGATTCTACATCACCTGCTAACGCTAAAGCTAAAACAGACTCGGAGTGTAAACCACCCATAAGTGATTCAAAATCTTCAACTCCAGAAAAATCAGACAATACTAATGTTGAAAATGCAACTAAAATAGTCACAGAATCCCCAGGAATGGAAACTATTACTAGAACTGTTGATAAAGATCCAACTGTTGAGGAAAGTGAAACTTCAACAAACACAGAAGAACAGGTAACAGTACTTGCTCTTAATATGTTTGTGTCAATATTCGTCTCTCCACTGTATTGTGTCAATTTAATGAAATTTGCCTCAATGACTAGTTTGTGTCTGTGTAGGGTCTAGCCATCATAACATAATGCTGCCATTTTGAGCCTCATTTTAACAAATTCTGTCTTGTGTTAAGTCTTCAGGTGGCTGGGGTTGGGGAGGATGGGGTTCCTCCTTATTAAAGACTGCTACTCACTCTGTTTCAACTTTTACACATCAAGTAGGTAAGTATTGAAGTACGTACTACCCATGTAGGAAGTTATGACAAGTGCTCTAAAGCCCTGTGTAGTTCATCCTCTTTCTCAGGTAACCTGTAGAATTTTAAAAGTTACCTAATCTGATTTCATCTTTATCTAACAATAAAAACAAAGGAAATATTATTCATATTATTGAATCTTCCTGTAATGATACCAAATTGAAGCTTTAACTATAATGATGCTAACTTGAAGTTTTAACTATAATGATGCTAAATTGAAGCCTTACTGCAATGATAAGTATTGTAAGGAATGCTATCATGATAAATGGGAAGTAAGGAAAGTTATTGGTTCTATTTAGGTGATGGATTAAATACTTTGATGGATACAATGGAAACAACACTTGGTGTACCAAGCCCAGAAGAAATGGTAGAGAAACAGAAAGAGGGAGAAAAGAAAGGTAAGTAAGATGTGCAATTTGATATTTTGCTGTATAAATATAACTATACACAATTATGTTGAAGATGGCCATTTTCCTCATTACTGATTATTTTCAAGAATGTGTGTTATGAACCCATCAAGGGCTATTGATAGGACCATGTAGATGTTAATATCAAAGCCAACTCTTTTTTCTGTTTACCTGCATTTAATGTACCATCTTGTCTTAACCATTCTCCTGATAAGACTTTGTCAAAACTCAGTGTTTGTGATACGATGTCAATGTACCACTTTCATTACCAGCTTTCCTTTTTCTTTCTTGTTTGTCAATTAGCTGAACCAGTTACTAGTAAAGATGACAAAAGTACAAGTGAAGAAAAGCCTGGTACACCAGCTAAAACAGAAGATGATGAACAGTCCAGTGAGACAAAACAATCTGAAGGAACAGAAAGTGGGGGAGGAGGAGGCTGGTTTTCAAATATTGGTCACCTTGTTCAGAATACTGTGAGTACTATTTTAAATCTTATCTCATACAATAATATCATGGGGCCAAGATCACAGCAGTCACATTTTAGGGATCTTTCCTTGCTATCTGAGCTAAAAACCCAGATTCAGGTTGCATAAGCAAATATAAGGTTGTAAGTGTTATGACCTATTCTGACACTGGTATTATATCATAATTATTATACTGTTAGCAGTAGTAATGTAACTTTACTTTGAACAAGTATAATGTTTTTGTTCTAGGTGACAGAAGGCATGGGTGTTTTGGAAACTATTGGTTCTGGCAGTTTAGATGTTATGGAAAAAATTGGTAAAAAGACATACTCAGTTATTACTGAACATGACCCAGGGTTCCGGAAAGCTCGTCAATTTCTAGGGAACAAGGGAGATAAACCTAATTTGTCATCTGTATTGCGTGATGCTAAAGAGGATGCAGACAGAAAAGTCGAACAGGATAAAGAGTCAGCTGAAGCCAGACAGTGTCATTTTGGTTTCCTATTTGATGAAAATCAAGGTAATGATATGATTCGTTCAGATTGTTCTAAAAAAAAAAGAACGGGTGTCTCTCTGTTGAACAATTCAATAGGTTAATCTTATAGCGATTTTTAAAAAATACACTTTAATTATGAAGATAAGAGCTTATTTTATGATGTGAAACAAGGTCTATCATCAGGAAAGATGGATTTAAAAGGGTATTAAATTTCATGCAAAGAAATTGAAGATAACTAGAACTTTAAGGAGTCAAGTTGTCACTCCTGTAGGTCCGTCCATCCACAATTGACTTGTAAACACAATAGAGGCTAGAGTTTTTATCCGATTTTAATTAAATTTGATGTGATCACTTATATTGATTGAGAGAATTTGACAATGACAAATGGTGACCGTCTTTGATATGCCGAAAATTTATCAGGGATATGGGCGTATCTTGCTAGGCAACCACTTGTTTGATGTATTTGTACATCTCCTTTCATTTGTTTTTCAGGTTTAGCTCATTTGGAAGCTTTAGAAATTCTGTCTAATCAGAGTGAAAAGAAAGTACAGGCTCTGTTACATGCCATGCCTGATGAAGTCATAGGTAAAATTAAACCTCAACTTTTACAGATTAAGGACATATTTGAAATTGAAGATAAAGATGATGGTAAGAATAATGATACTGATGTATCAGTGAGATAACCTCACATATATCATGTCACTTTATACTTTATTCATCTTCACAATGTAAAGCTATTACCAACTTAGTACTTATACCTTGACTGCATTAGTCACCTTTCTTGTTTCATGGAAGTTTTACATGAAGCAATTTGATTGGATTGTACACCAGCGAATAAGCCAATCAGAGGCCTCAACTGAAAGCCTTTTATAACAGTCTTTCCATTTGGGTCAATCTAATCAAATTGCTGCATTCCATGAAACAATAATATTGGCTATAGCACTCAAGGTCTAAGTATGTAATTCATGATAGCTTGACATTGTGAGGGTGCTCTTTATTTGAACAACATTCATCTGTGCTGAACAATGTAACTTTCACACAAATACTTTAGAATTGACTTTGTCAATCAAGTTTTGAAAAACACTTTTTGTTCATTGATTGAATACATTGTTCAATTTTTGGTATATTTAATCCTTTGAAAGTGAAACTGTGATCTTTGTTTTATGTTTTTTTCAGACAATGAAGAAGATGATCATGATTTTGTTCAGTTAGTTACAGATCAGTTATCAGAATTACATCTTGGTACAACAGCTGATAAACTTAAACTGGTATTTGTTATTCTCATAGTTCTAATATCCGATAACCGTTTCAGAAATCTTCATTTCTTTTCCTATTCATCTCTTTAAGCTATCTAAATTTGACTTAAGTATCATCGAAACGTTTTGTGGTTGGCTTACATATTTGATGTTATGATTGATTTAATTGTGTTATTTAGGTACATGAAAGATCAAGAAATTATGTAGAAGAATTTGAAACAGAAAAGAAAGCAGATGAAGATAGTGAAACAGAGTCAAATGAACCAAAGGTGAGATAACTCTTGTAATATTTGCTAGTCATTACTCCAATGGAGCTACATGTACTACAGTCTGTGGATGTACTCTAAATTATATTCTAGACACTGTTTAGAACTGTGAGAACAAACAAAAGGGCATGTTTTTTGTTGTATATTTTCCTCATGTGAAAAGATCATTGGTTGCTATTGGTATTTTGCCAAGATGTTGTTCTGGATTTCGTTTTTGCAGTTCAGACTGTTAGTACTTGCTTTATTTATTCTTACATTATCATGTTTTAAATTCTTTATTGTTAGAAACTGCACTCCAGGTGAGTATTCCTAAAGCCACAAAAAAAATGCTTTCAAATTCTTCATAACAGTGTTGCTGCGATTTTCCCTCTTTGTTGACTAACCGATTTTTGGTATTTCTTTGAATTGTAGGAAGTTCACAAGCATGCCATCCAATTTTTAGCTGATTTATCATGTAAAAGTGTTGAACAGTTTCATAAAGCTGGTGAATTGATATTATTAAAGAAAGATACAGAGAAGTCTTATGAAGACAAATCTAAAACTCTTGCAAAGTAAGTAATTTAGTTGTTATTGTTATACTATGTTGAAATAATTAAGTTTTGCTATTTTTGATTGAAATTTCCTGGAGATGCATGAACATTTGGAAAATTCCAGTTAAGCATATGTGAATTCTTCTGAAGGTAAGGTAACTAAACTTTCAAAAATATGTGGGGGTTAGCACTGGGTAGGTTTGAAACTGACTATCTAACCCTGTGATCTATTCTGTTTTAATTTTTAGTTTAACTCAAGTGTTATGCTCAGAAGTTGGTATTTTATCTTCAAAGTTTTCTCAGTGTCTTAATTCAATAGCAGTAAGTATTTCATATATACTTGATAGCTTCTCATGATCATTCATTGAAATAAAACACAGTTTTTGGGTGTAGTGGCTTTAAGGGCAATTAGTCTGCAATCATTTAACACAAATGTTTTTGTCAGCGAGATATTTTATTTTACCTTTATCAAATTCACCCAGAAGTTCCGCATTAATGCCCCAAATTGTTTTTTCCTTGTACAAAATACGACAAAAAAATATCTATCTCATTGCAGGATTAACTTTATTCAATATTGCTTATACATTTGGTTGTAATTTTGCTACTGTTTGCAATTATTTAATAATGATAATTTCCATTGCAGGAAAAAGACAAAACAAAAGAAGAAATAGTTAACCCATTGGTGACAAATATTTATTTAGAGGTAAAGCATTGTAGTTTTTGTATGAAATAACAAAAAGAGCACTTGATTTTCTTTGCCACTCGGCTGATTTTTGAATATGTAATGAATAAAATCCCATCCGTTTATATAATTGTATCATTATTCCAAGAACATTACTAAAATATTGTCGCTTCTTGTTTTAAGATTTGGGAGCACCATTTATTTATGTAGGAGATATCTGCCAAGAGGATCCAGATCAGGAGAATGGTTCTGTTAATGATAAAGTATATTTGAAAATTGAATTTCAGGCAACAAACAGTAGTACATATATACAAGATGCTTTTCAACTTTTATTACCTGTTTTACAACATGCAGTTATACAGAATTCAGATGTTTTACAGTGAACAGGTTGTGCATAAATATTCGAATATAGGTCTACCAATACTCTACTTTTATGTATTAATGACAACAGGAATTTAAATTTCAACATGAAAGCTCTCTGTCAACCATCCTGCACAAAATTCTCATGCATTTTCTTTTAAATTGGGATCCTGTTCATTTACCCCACTATTTTTACCCTCATTTTAACAGAATGATATTGCTGTATGGACTTCCCTGTATGAAGAATGTGACACTACATAGTCAAAATGAGTCAAATTTGAATTATGATTAATACTACCATTGTATCATTTTGTATTCAATCAAGGTTTTAACTAATTATTATGTGAAAAGAGAAGAATAGAAAATTTAAATGAGTGTTTATTTACAGCTTCTACATTTTCACATGTCAGCTTGGCAGACTCAATGCGGTTTATGGTGTGACATTTCTGTTTGCTTCTCAACCTATGGCTTGACATATGCTGCTAACTCCAGAAAATGTAGCCCTGTTTTCCCACCTTTCCTTTCAAGTTTTAAATTGTAAACGGATAGATGATTGGGATTAGTTTGTGAACTTGTCAGATATTATAACATATCATAACATTGTTGACAAACCAAATATTTTGAGCAACCAATTTGCACATTTTAGGGCTCCTTTGCACAATAACCATGAAATTGGAAGTAAATTACTACAATTGAGGTCTTATGTAGTTTACTGTTATCAGGTCACACTACAATCTACTTAACAGTTTCACCCAATAATTAAATGTGCTGTCCCAGATGCTAATGACACTCTACTGCCCCTTCACTACCCTGAACAATACAACATATTGTAAGAGTAATACAGTCAAAAGAAAATCAGTAAAACATTTAATTGTGAAACAGATTTAATTACGAAAAATGTCAAAAACAGGAGCAAAATATGAAAAATTTACTAAAATCAATACTTCAAATTCATGCATATATGTTTTGAGGAATACATTGATGTGAAATTGAGGAAATTTTCAATATATTTTAACAAAAACAAAATTGAAATTTTTAAATATTTAAAGCACCTTGTGAAAAAAAAATTATTAAAGATATTATACAAACTTCTTGGAATAGGATAATAATGCTAGTATATTGGAAGGGTTTCAGACCTGCAAGGAATGCTTTACTCTAATAGCACTTTCAGAATAGAACATCATATTCTTCAGGTTAAATGCCTTTGAGGCTTACAGATTATTTCAAGGAATGCTTATGTTCTTTCAGCACTCTCAGAACATATGTAAAATTAATAGCACTAGTGATTGCCTTTAACATTTCAAAAAATCAATGACCTAAGATGTAATGACTATTTCTTAATCATTAGATTTGGGATTTTGCTATACATACCATCCTCTATTTTTGCTCTCTATGTAATAACTATGATAGTTTTGCATTTGATTTTACCTCTATTTTCAAGCTATCACAAAGACAGGAAAAAGCAAGGATTCAGGATCTGCAAACTAGCAACTAATATAAAATATGGTACAAAATTACAAAATAAATCAACTAGTCTTGTTTTTCTAATTGACTAAAATATAACAGCACTTAAGATTACCTGAATAATAATTCTACAACAATTACAATTCAACAAACAGATTGTATAACTTTTTTGAAAGCATATTGATGTTTAGTTTGGGTAAACAGTCAATCTTGATTAAGATTCAAATCTTAAAGTTTTGTTTCATATTTTTATGATCCACATAACAAAACATCCAGATAATATGTATTTCATCAGAGGGCCATTGATTTAATACTATATAAATTGTGTGTTATTTCACTTTACTGAACATCTGACCATGTCATGAATGATGAATCTATGAACACTTTCAGATATTGGTAACAAATATGAATATATTATGCTTAAGGTTTCGTAGCACACTAAATGCACTACAATAAACATATTGAAGGATTAAGTTATCAAACTATTCTGTTTTCCGTTGGAAGAAGAAGAACAAACTTATTTGAGAAATTTTTAGCTAATGACTAAAAGTAGCCATCACAAATTAGATTCAATCATACTGAATTATGATACTTTCAGCTCAAATTGAGCTCGTAGATAATTAGGTGACACACACTTCAAGGAAGTATTAATATATCATTCTGAGAGTAGTACCAAACCAAATCACCAACTTGCTTTCAAAAACAGTTATAAAAGAAGCTCACAAACATGAATTTCTTCAGCTGGGATCACTAAAATCCTCATTATAGTTAAAGGAATGTCACTAAGTTGGTCTCTTATAAAGGATTCTAAATTCAACAAATTAGAGGATCTACTCTATCCGAATAGGGAATGTGAAAAATTGGTCTTTATTTAAGTCTCCTGTACCTTGTTTTCGTTTACCAGCCTTTTTATAAATTCCGAATGATATCATTTGATTAGTTATAATGCCAAGTTAAATCCAAATGTTCATAGCTAGGTTGATCTATTGGCATTTTTTTTCTACAGTAATCAAAGAAACTTTTTCTTTTTATATAGAATCTCTGGAAGAGCAGAATGGGTCAAAGATAACTTTACATTTCTTTATGAAAGCTTGAAAACTGAAGAATTAGACTTGGCATTGAAGTTTACAAAATTTTTGTAACCAAATGACTTAAAGGGACCGGTTTGCCATTTTCGAGTGTTGATTTGGGTCATGAATAACATATATGTAAATAGTCTTCAGAAGTACTAGAAATGTACAAATATCAAATAATTCCTTCAAAAATACCTCTAACTAGGAACTTTAAGGGACTGTCCGCTTTTTTGACATAATATTTCATTGTAAAAAAGTGAAAGGATAGTCGTCTTTTTAACTTTCAAACGCAGATAATTCTGGACACACATGGATTTGAAGGCTCAAATTGGGAAGGTGAACTATACTGATAAGCTTAGCAAAAAAGTTTCCCTTTCTGAAACTAAGGTACAATAGGTCAAACACTTGGTAAATCTGTCCCTTTAATTTGGCCAAAAAAAGTTTCCTTATGACACACAAGCTTTATAAAATTACTCAATTTAACAAAGAAATATCTTAATATCTTCATAATAAATAGTTATAATAACTAAATATCAAATAAATGGTAAAATAATATCTGTATGCTCAGACTTAATAGTCCATTAATAGTGTATTCTACAAAATAATATCAAAGTCATCAAAAACTTTGTACAAAGAAAACTGAAGAAAACAAAAGAAATATATAAATAATTGGCAATATTGGCAAACTAAACATTATGAAAATGCACTACCAGTATTATAAAATATAATGACTGAAAAGAAAAAAGAAACCCTTAATTACCCCTTAAATCCATTATGTACTATTTTGGTGGTCTCTGCATTTGACATAGTCAAAATGTGGGTGGCATTAAATTCTGAGATTCAAAATCATTTCATCAAATTCAATTTGATTTCATTCAATATGAGATTCTTTGTTAATGACTTAAGTTAAGAAAGCGTACACTTGCCAATCTAAGCTAACATAAGAACTGGTGCTCGAACCCGTTTAATTTGGAAATAAATCTGAGTCCTTATCATTGATTAACCAGATATGCACAAATGGTACAGCTTTTAGATATCTGAATTTGATCATTAAATGGGACATATCTTTGAATTCCAACAAAATGAGACAGAAAAAAAATTAATACTACTATGTTTTTATGTGACCTTTGGAGATAAGTACATTAGGCCAGTAGGAATGAGCGAAGAGGGAGCCAAGGGCGATTATTGCTTTTGATAGCCTATTTAGTTTAAGGCCCCCATAAATATGCAGCAGAGGTTTATGTTTGTGAAATACTATCCATTTATGTTGATGAAGAAATATGGTGTTATGCTGAGTTTATAGGTACAGTACTGGTACCAATTGTTAAGATCATAAGCTAGCTATTACTATTGTTACCAATCATAATACTTTTATGGAACCTGCAATACAAAATAATCATCTCAATAGTATTACAAAATATGAGAAACTATAGAAAAAACTTAATACTTGTACATGTATAGGCCTAAAGGTTATCTTTCAAAGGAACTTAGTACCAGCATTGTATGAAACAGAATAAGCCCCTGATAAGAAAATATTCACTCAATCAATTTGTAAAATCTTATAAGTTATATTCTGCAAGTGGCTGATAATGTGAGATATCAAAAAAATTTCAATCAAAGCAATGCCTAATCACATTAGATAACCATAGGGATTTTTTATGTGCATGATCGAATTAGTCTGTTTATAAGACAAAGAATGTTTTGGCTATGTCAAGAGCAATAACTCAACTCAGTAAAACATTTCATAATATTTACAGATTGAGAAAAAGGTTCACCATTTCTATTAGGTTATATAAACATAAATGTCATGATTATGCTCTGCTCATGAATTGACTCATGCATCCAGTCAACTGCTTTAACTAATTGTAATAATGATGAAGCAATTGTGGGATTGTTAGCCAAGATGTCTCCAACAAATTCATAAAATAATGATTTCAAACAATACACAAATATAAGTTTTATGTTATTTTGATTCTGTTTACTGTTTTAGAGATTTAAATTGACCTACTGGTTTCATTCAGTCTCAATATCATGTCAAATTAGATTAACTCAAGTGGCCATAACAACCACAGTTACCCCTATTAGTATTAGTATTAATTGAATGATTATGTGTCATGTCATAATAAGTGGAACACACCCTACCATTGCAATGGTGTTACTTCCCATTCCATTCAGTTTTATGCTGCTGCCTACCAAACCCTTCATCATAATTTCCATTCATCTTAAAGAGCTGTTTGAAATGACTAGTACAAAACATTTTCCCGGAATTCGCTGCGAAATTTTTCGGTGTCAACTGACACTTGCATTGTGAACAACGGAGGCACGATTTGTGGAACGGTTTATCGTTCATATCTGCCTTTTCCATGGCATAAACGGGTTTTTCACATGCTGTACATCTTTCTACAAGTATGTTTGGCACAAAAGTACTTTTCCTCACTGACATTTCGTACAATTTTCACAGAATGAATCGCATTTCACCCAAAGTCAATTTCGGCTTGAAACTCCCTCCATGGGCTCACTCTTTAACGCTCTCCTGTAAAATGCTGTCCAAATCCATAGGGTAGGGTGAACGTGGACGACTATGAACACTGAGGCGTTATTAAAGATATAGCCTATAGACCTATGATGACTCAGTTCAACTTTTTTATCATTTTTACATGACATCTCATTAACCTGTAATAAAGTTACTTAATTAAAGAATATTTTAATATTTGTCACGAATCAAGCTAATCATGTAATATGTGAGGTCAAACATATAAAAGTAAATGCATAGATGAACTCCCAGATTTCACAAGCGGGGAGAAATTTAAGGTCATATCCAATGTGTTTTTAGTTTGATACATCTTTTATTGGAAAGAATAGGCCTTATGTAAATAAAGTTTAACACTTACAGAGAGTAAAACTTTCTGGATTAGCCTAGTGCCAAGTATAAACTATTTGTGTAATACTTAATATACCATTACGAAGCGGGTAATTGAATAGATTCAGATTATTACTCTCGACGCCCATTGTCAATTATTTATTTCATTTTGAACCGACCGACTTATCGACCACTTGCGAGCCAAAAAGAGTTTGCCATTTTTGAAAGGAATATCCTCAAATAATAGCTTTGTTGAATAAATGTCACCGATCGATGTGATGATGACGTCAGTAATATATCTTTAGACCAACGGAAATACCGACTTGAATAACGTGACCCCGAGTTGCTTGTGTTTATATAAAAAGATCAGATAATGGCCGGGTTTTTTTTTCATTTGATATGCCTGATGAAGGTTATTCAGAATCAAATAGCAAATATATATAGGCCTATAAGCTGCGATATAGACCATCAAAATATTAGAATGGGCCTACTCTTTAACTAGGCTAATCCGAGTGCCTACGCCGTTGGGGGTACAGCGGAGGTTGTGAATAAGACGCCTCCACAAAGTTGCCGCATTTTGAATTCAGCCTCGACAAGTTGCCCCCCCCCCCCCCTCCTTCCCTCCTCCATTCATCCAGCCTGTCCCCTACATAGAATTGCTGTGGGAACTTAAAACGGTTAAAATGAGAGATATGAATTTAAACCCATTTAAATTGATTTTATTGCCAAGTTACACTTTCACATGACATGCTCCTCTCTTCGTTGATCTTATTAAACTCAAGTTTTATATCACTATTTTTAAGGACTGCGTCTTAAAAAAAAGGGGGCGGGGGGTGGCTTGGGTTGGCATGGCCAAATGGCCCACACCCAAAATATGCCAGCAGCTAGGCTACTGATTATCTGCGTTTGGAAGTTAAAATGACGACTGTCTTTTCTTGAGACTCTGCCATTTATAGAAAAGACATAGACTACCGGTTTGAGACATTTTTGATCTTTGAAGGAATTGTGCTATTTTCGTACATTTTTATTAGGCTCTTCTGAAGACTTATCAAGACCCAAATCAACCTCCGAAATGGCGAATCCTTCTCTTTAAAGTATTCATATGAAATTATAAAATATATAATACATGTAATATGATTGATGGGTATAATCAATCTAATATTTACTAATTAGATTTAGAAATTTAATTAAATTAAGATGCGGAGAGACGATATGATGTATGAAGATGGATTATGGATACAGTGGAAAACAAAAGAAGCGAATCGATTCGGACATGTACAGATTCTATATAGGCCTATATTTTCTATATACATGTAATGTTATTCTAAAAGGAAATTATGGAATGCAGAAGTTGACTTTACAACTCCCAAGAATACAGTGGTCGAACTTACATCTTTCAAGAATGTAAAGTCCAGGAGACATAGTTGATTACGGTGTCTTGAATCCTCCGTCGAAGGCGGACCGCCACCGCCATCCCGCCAGGTCATTTGAGACTTGATATTCAGGCACTTGATGCAGGCACCAATAAAAAGTTGGAATGTTTTCATTACGTATGACGAAACGTAACAAGAAATAAATCTTGTTCTTTTTCAACATGCAAATGTTTAGCAATCCCACTGTGGCGAGTTTGAACGTGAATTAAAGTAAGCGCGCCATGTTATCTTTTTTTAATTTTACTGGTGAGTAAAAATAATTTGGCGACTGCATTTTCGACTTTCTGTTGTTAAATCGTATATTGGCCTAGTCATATATCTGTCTGCTGAACGTTGCATAGCCTATCTGACGTAAATTTAAATTTCCTCGAATTTTAAGTATTGTAACTTTGTAATAAAAGTGGAGCATCTACCCTAGTCTAAAATTGACAGAAAAAAACTCTAGTGGCATGGGTTAGCAATAGTATGATTCGGACTATTCCGACATTGTGGTCAGAGTTATCGTTCCTAAACTTGATTTCCGGTCATTGAAAAAAAATATTCAAGAGGCCTACGTTACCAATATGTCGCTCCTCATCAAGTCAATTTAACAAGTGAGGAAAAATGTAATTGAACGTTCCCCACAAGAGATCAACAAGAACTCCCCCATTGGAACCACACGAAACAACAAATGTCTTTGTAGATAAGGGGGCTTCTGGGGTAGACCGGCTGCATACTATAATTGCACGTGGTTGACAAAAAAATTTTGTTTCACTCTTTCAGCATTAAAATATTAGCTCGATTAAAGGGTCGTAATCATAATTTCTAAAAATAACTAAGCTTAAGGACTTAACGTCTATAATCCCTTTAATATGGAAGGGTATTTTCGTTTTCGAAACTGCGAATTGCGGAGTTCTTGATTTTCGGATATTTTGACATTTATGGAAAAGTGGACGTATATTGCCGTCGCAGTTCGAAATTGGTAAAAATCGGATGAAAAGTTTCAGAGTTATTGCCCTTGACTTAGTAAAACGCGTTAAATTTTTATCCTATCTTGATGAAACTTAGTAGGCCTATGCTTGCAGATATTGATAAGACCTCAGTCAAGTTCGGAATTGGTAACAATCGGATGATTGGTTTTACATATTAAACCACCACAGACTTTGTTATCATTTCTGGCAGCTGGTAGTGGCGTATGTTACCTTGCCTGGTAAGTTATCTTTAAAAATAAAATAGTGACTGTCAAAATAAGATAAGTAAAATGTGATTTATAGCAAAAAGTCAACATAACAACATAAGAATACGGCCAACAAAATAGAATTTTACTGATGACACGTGACCTTTGAACTTTTGGCTGCGCCTGGTTTATACCCTGGTTTTGCAGATCCGAGGTATCTAAATAGGTTTAAAACCCCCGCACCTGCGGAAATGCGGAATATATCCCCATTTAACAGGGCTTATTATTTCTGTCTCTACATCAGCTTGTTTCGGTCTAAAAACAATTTTGCCTTCCCATACGGAGTGAAGACTAGAGTTTAATAACAGTTTTTCTATTGTTATATTGTATTGTGTCCCAACAATGGCGAACATTCGAAGAGCTGCCAAACATTGTTGCCTCACCAAGACAGAAAATGTTAATTCGTTCGAAAATTTGAAGAAAAACCTCATTTACACACGATGAAAACTTTGCACAATTTTTGGTCGCCGATTTTCATTAGCTTAAAAAAAACCGGAGTAAAGCCATTGATGGGTTTTATAAATGACACTGAGCGAGTAACTGAAAACAGGCGCAACAAAAAGTGGCACTGCTCGAACTCCTTATTGTTAAAAATTCCACTAGCTTGAACGATATACGGCAACAAATTGGGACGCATTATGGGTTTCAATCAACAGAACGTGCCCATTTCCTGGACTTCTGCGGAATCAGCCTCGAACCAGATGAAAAACCAGAAGACATGTTCAAACGACAAGCCGCATTCGTTGAAGACAACTTGTTGCAACAAGGTTGTGTTATTTAACATCATGGGCAAAATATCGCCGGAGACTTATTCACCCCCGAGGCCCGAGCTACCCAAACTTTTAAAACAAAGAATACTGAACCTAGCTTCGTACCCGTACATTATCCTCAATCCAACCAGAGATTTCAAAAACTCTTGACTCCCTATTGTTTGAAATACAAACTTCCAATGATACCCTGGCCTTTTATACACGGCAAAATACTGATAGCAGACCATCCCAAATTAATCACTCTGCGTACAACAAACCAACTGGTGAAACTCCCAACACCGCAGATGCCAGAGAATTTGTCCACCTTGTCAACCAAAAAAATTTCAACGAAACATTTTCTGTTTTAAAAGTAAAATAGTGGAACTCGTGGAACTTTTTGGACGACGTAGTAATAGGCTTACAGCTCCCAGATAAGAAGCTGGCCCGCCTTTGCCCCCTCCCAACCATAATAACACACACCAAAACCTTACTCTCCAGCCTGCCACTAGAACTGACAAGAAAGTCAACAATACATTTATGAAACTATGAGTTTGCACCATCATAAACACACTCCTGCATTAGATAAAGGCAGTGGATATTAGCAGTGAACCGGTTGAGTTTATTTTTCACTATTTTCCCGGCACGTTCGAGTAAGGCCCATATAAAGAGGACTACGGGCTATTCTGTCGCTATGTAAGAAAGAAAATTTGAAAGTTGGGAGGGGGCAAAGGCGGGCTAGCTTCTTATCTGGGAGCTGTAAGCCTATTAATACGTCATCCAAAAAGTTGACACGAGTTCCGCTATTTTATTCCACATGATGAAATGACGTATACTGATTGGTTTAAGACGGAAAATGTTTCGGTTCAAAGCATACCACAGACAAAACACAAGTTTGCCCGAAACATTTGTTCAGAATTCAAACAAGTTTGATTTTCAAACAAATGTTTCTTGAAACAAAAAACAATGATTTTTGCAAACGCACACGACGGATTTTTGTCGCGAAACAAAAAGTTGTGTGTGTTGGGCTTATATTCTTGCTAACCGAGATATTTAGACCGATAATTTCTTTTCATTTGTTATGGTAACCCTACTTATTCTGTATTTCTATTTAATATTACTCTGATAATACCTGTTACAATTAAATACAATGATTTTCAGGATTAAGATTTAAGTAAAATATCGGTGGGTTCGTTTTGCCGCATTGCCCAACTTGCCGCATCGTGCCCAACTGCAGAAAAACGACCTGTAAAACGAAACTAAAGGTTTCTGATAAAATCCGGAATGACCATTTGTTTCACATGAAACGAAATATTTTAATATGGTGTCCCGAATCGATTTTTTTATGTCCGTCAACATTTGCTTGTAAACGCTCTAAAAACTAGATTTTCTGATGGAATCAAATGAAATTCGGTATGTGTATACATATTCATAAAACGAAGATCAAGTTCGAATTTGAGCTATTTTCGACCGTTAGAAGCAGAGTTATTACCCTTGCCCCAAAATCTTGAATATGCTATTCCTCTCTTAGTTTTCAACCGATTTTGATGAAACTTAAAATGGATGTTATTGGACCTTAATCGAAAGATTTGAGAAAGTTTAGTTAACTTCGGATTAAATTTAAGGCTTTTTCAAGATTTAGGCCTCTTACGTCAGTTTTGAGTAGTTATCGCCCTTTAACCTCTATACAGTAAGTGCTTCTATCAACACCAATTACTCGTAAACACCTAGAAAATAGAGTGTTTCAAGGAATCAAATGAAATTCGGTATGTGCATACATATTCATGAAACGAAGGTCCGTCGGTCCTTCCGTCCGTCAACATTTGCTTGTAAACGCTCTAAAAACTAGATTTTTTGATGGAATCAAATGAAATTCGGTATGTATATACATATTCATAAAATGGAGTTCGAATTTGAGCTATTTTCGACCGTTAGAAGCAGAGTTATTGCCCTTGCCCCAAAATCTTTACCATCCGCATGCCGTGGTGGGCGTATATGGTCCACTATCTAATTTTTCTTTTTTCTAAACATTCGCAGGTTCGTCGATTTTTGTAGTTAGTAGTGTGGAGCCAATCAACCCCAGTTTCTACCTTGTCCACCAGGACATTCTGGAACCGTTGAGCCACTGCCGAATTATAGAGCACATCGAACACGAGAATTTAAAACTTCTCCTCGCTTGATAATTCTGATTTACTATTCAGAAGATTTTCACTTTCAGACATTTCAGTTGCCATTTTTTCTAGCACGAGAGTGACGTTATTGGCACGCTGTAGAGGGACATAACTCTTGCAAGTTATTACCAAATTTATTTATTGCACTTGTCTTGTTTCGTTTTATGGATTTATGTATTTTCTATTACGGTTCTGATCGTTTGTACTTGGTATTTATTTTATTCCAGATTTTACCATAAAAGTATAGTTTCGATTTCCCTAACAGGTCCAAATTATACATAATAAAAATAGAAGATGTGGGACAACAGATTAAAATATTTTGTTTCATGTAAAATATGGCCATTCCGGATTTTATCAGAAACCTTTAGTTTCGTTTTACATGTCGTTTTTGTGCAGTTGGGCACGGCAAAACGAACCCACTGGTAAACATATTAGCTCTATTAACGGCGCGTTTCTCAATTTTCTAGAGAGAAAAAAGCTTTAAAAAATACCACCGTGAAAGTCTATTGATCTAGATCATAAGACATCGTTAGGGTGGGGGCTGGGGCCCAACAAGTGAGATATAAACCCCAGTGATACCTTCTTCAGTTCAGCAGAGATTGATTCATTTACAATGTCTTTGTACAAAATCAAAAGGATATAGATTTTGAAACGTTCTTAGCACCTCTTCAAATTCTGAGCTCCAGCACTAATTCATTCCTGGCGACGGGGCTGGACTCAATACGACAATACTTGCTTGTAAATTTGGTTGATAGTAGGACAGGTTTCGATTGGATTTTAAGGAAACCCTTCTTTGGCCATGATGAAACCTGTCATGCATATATACAGTGGTGTAACCTATTTTCGTGGATATAAGGATTCAACACCGAATTTTGTCAAAGTTAAAAAAACGAATTTTTTTTTTATGTCTTAGATGTTTGCTCAGATATTCTACAAAATATTTAAAATTGGTTTATTTCGATTTTCTTTATGAATCCTTCACTTTGACCCATATTTCATGAGCAACCAACTCGGCAACGGCGGCAGAATGCGGCACCTATTTTCGTGTACAATGTTTGATCTATAAATATGTCTAGAAAAACACGGTGTATGGATACCGGGTGGTATAATTAACTTCTCTTAGTATTTATCTTTAATATCAATTCATTTTAATTAGTGACAATTCGTTCAAAGAACCACGATTTAAAAAAAAATAGTGACTGACAAAATAAGATACGTAGCGTGATTTATTGCTAAAAGTCACTGAAACAACATAAGAATATGGTCCACTTTGTGTTCCATAGAAATTTTCTGCTGACACGGAATCCGCTAGTTGATCACGTGACTTCATTCGTTGGACTACATTCTAGCAGACGACTTGGAATTCCGATTACCGCTTGGGATTATAAGGAAATTCGGCCGATAAAAAATGGTGACGTTTGGTAATAACTGAAATCCACCATTTTGTATTTGTCAAAGTATACATTAATACATTTTACCTTGCTTGAAACTACTGGATTCATTATACTAGCTGATATTGTAGAGAAAACCCATGTTTATTAAAACAAACTAATGCGGAGGTCGCGCAAGGTCGCTCATGTAAATTATTAATCCTTTTCGGAAATCCACGTATAATAGGTTTCTACGAAATTAGGTTACTTGACTTGTATAACCTGTATTTGTGATGTTTTATTATTGATCTGGGTATAAGATATAGCTCAGTGTCTTAGAGCCAATAATTCGCTTTAAACCATAATAAACCCTTTTTAAATAGGTGGGAACACCGTTTATTCCAATCAATTTTAATGTGGTCCGTCAGGTTTCGAAATATACATGTATGATGTTCTCCCTTTGATGGTAAAACTTTGTTATATAAATCCACATACCAAACGGACAGTACAGAAACTTCAGATGGAACCAATCCACCGACCATTAACTACGACCTCACTACTATATAGCCTAGTCAGCGATATCAGCATCAGCTGGAAGCGACTGGTAACTTTTCATTTACCTTTCAGACTGTCCTAAGATTGAAAAACTGTTACCCAAGAAACTCTTGGCGAAAAATTCACACGTTCAAATGGAATATGTCTGTAGTTTTGTTTATATATTTCTGTTTAAATCAGGGCTTGGCCTACATCAATATCGGTTTCCATTTCAACTGGCTGAGGCCTACTATCTACGTACATAACCTCTCTAGTCGAGCCATGCTGGATGGCAGATGATTTCTAAAGGCTTGTGTCCACATACGCGATTTACGTCGAGTTTATTGTTAACCTTATCTTATCAGTGAAGCTTGGCATCAGTATTGTTTCGTATTTCGCACATCATAGAGTCCTAATTTATTACGTTGACTTAATCACGTGAGAAGCTAAATTTTCATGACATGCTTTCCCTGTTAGTAAAAGCATTTTCTTTACATTTCATGGTTTATTTTTGTCAGGTTGTATAATTTGTACAGGTAAAATGTAAGGGTGTGAGGCAGCCATTTTCTGGCATGAACAATTAATTTCCCCATATTGAGCACCAAGAATTATCTCCCATATAGTCTTTATTTACATTTTATTTATTGTGACATCTTTGGTAAAGCCTTTGCAAATTATTAGCAGATTATCATTGTATATTGTCATTTGTCATCTATTAATTGATTCATACACTTTTAATTTTTTTATCCTGTTTGTGCAGATAATTTTACTTAAAATAAGCTATTTAAACCAGAATTCATCGTATTCCTGTGCGAATTAACATAAGACCCTGATCTTTGGCAGTTAGGCCATACCAAAATAATATTCCGTTCGTCGGGAATTCCGTACCCGATTTTAAAAAATAGTATTCCGTATCAAAAGAGCTCCTGTATGTAAAATTTTGAAAAAAGAATTTTTAATTTAAAAAAAAAAATTATATTGCCCTTATGTCCGTACCTCTAAATTGATCAGATAACATGATTGTTTAGCTCTCATTTTTAGTTTCATTTTTATTTCTTTAAGCCTAAAATTTGGTAGCAGGAGTAACAAATTGCGCCCTCTATTTCCGTTTGTCAGTTTGTGGACATCGTGCGACAATTATAGTAGAACATGTTCCAGCTGTTGAAAGAGTGAGTTCGTACAGTAGTTTAGGCCCTTCGCTGAAGCAAGAACGTGCAGTGCTAGAATTAATACATGATTTGTATTTGTCTTTTTTACCAAAATGATTTTAGTATTCAAAATTAGGTCACACCAGAAACTTATTTTGCCATACATGGCGTTTGATGTTGAGCCTGAAAACACTTTTAAAGATGTTTATGATCTGGCATCTGCAGGAATTCAATCGTGCATATCACAGATCCCAGAAAAAGTGTACATCACGGACAATATGGAAAAATCAGGCGGTGTCTTAGTTACACATACGTTGAAAATTTCTCTGTGTGATGAACTGAAATCCAAGTTTGTGTACTTTTTAATTAACTTGCCTTCTCATTCTTCGTCTGAGGAACCTGTTTGTAATACTTCCAAAAGTGATAAAAATGTGTTCGATTTTATGATGGCATCAAGAAAGACATTAATGTTTCCTGAAAAACCTACACCACCAGTCTTTGACAAAACCTTAACTGGACCTCAAAAACTATTTTGTGATGTGCTAGATTGGTGCAAAACAATTTATGATGGCTGGTCAAAAGACCAGTTAATCTGTGCAAAAGAAATTTTGTGGAAGATTACAAATAAATACTATTAATTGTTATTTTATCTGAATACATTCAAAATCATCCATGCTGGAAAATTTTAATGGTACGAAGGGACTTTTTTTTTTTCAAATTAAAAAATATTATATCGCACCAACCAAATCAATGATTACTAACTTTTAGACATTTTTTTTTTAAAATTAAAAAAAAAATTTCGTTCGCTCGTACCTTTTTTTTTTTTAAGAAATCCCGAAGAACAGAAAATTATTTTGGTATGGCCTTACAGTCGCTGGGTCCACTTTTGAGGAATAGCATCTACCACTTATTGGGTTACGCCAGACGATAAAGACCTATGTCCACACATACGTGTTTTCAAGCCGTGAACACAAGCCTTCACAACGATCAGCAGGGAAATATATTAATATGATGTTATCTCATTTACACCCACACGCTTCCTAAATACCAATTTTTGAATATACATGAGTACGGGAAACACCTTTTGTATGGAATGGCTCATACGAAATTATATTGAATGAACCACGATACAATGACATACGCAGGTATACGCTTTAATAGAAATATCATTAACCTTATATTCGCTGAAACAGATTCCTTAAAAGTTCCTTGAAAAGTTAAAGGAGTCGCAGTGGCTCAGTGAGTTAGACGCTTGCTCACTAACCTGAGGTACAGGTTTCAATACCGGCATAGGTTGAGATAATGCCTTTGGGTTTTTCAACCCGGCTGCCCCTTGAGGTTGAAGGTCGAAGGGGCTGACTTGGAAAAATCGTCTCGTCGTTCGGATGGGACAATAAACTGAGGCCCCGTGTGCTACAGGCTGATACCTCAACAGTTGCCGCTGTCCTGGTAAAATTACCTTATTGTACACTGCATGACGTTGCCCCGCTTCATTGGCCCAACGATACAGAAAAGTAGGACGTAAGCTTCCATTCATTTCATTTGAAGAGTTAAAATACACAACTCGAACCTTATTGGATATATTTCCTAAAGATACCATGACAAAAATTGAAATTTTATTTAGGCTATATTATTACTTTTAGATGATAAATGGATATATTATACGGTGGTTCGTGGCATATTAAAATATGATTGCAAATGTTCAACCTGTATCAATTAATTTGCTTGTTTGAAACTAATCTTACTAAACTTGCGCCATTGGACTATTATTTATAAAGTGATAATCATATTAACAAATTGTCCCTAACTAAACTGTTAACGTTCACACAAACTGTCAGTAGTCTAGTCTTGTTACCAGGATAGTGTAAGATATCGTGAAAGGTGTGGTTTCTGATGGAATTTATAAGAGGTAACGATACATCCTTCATTACATTCTACCACTGGCCAGTAAATCACCTATCAGTGAGACCTGACCATTTATTTATGTTTGTCATTTGGATTGCACCAGGTCACACAGATTAATATATCCATGTTTAGAAATTCATTTTATAGGTTCCTGAACATAAGAGTGATGTTGTTAATTTGTTTCGCGATTCTTGGTAAACTGATAGGAATCAATAACGCAGGTATGATTTACATTTTTATATAATATTTCAATGATATACCAGAAAGTTTATGAGAATGTTAAAAGGAATTCACATGTGGTTTTATCGGCTCATTATATCAGTTTAAGTTACCATACTACATTTTATATAACAACTCTTTTCTTGTCACACCTAAAATCTATTCAGGGTACAACAAATGCCATTTATACAAAATATTGGACAACTATTTAGCTTTGTATTATCTTGTCTTTGTTATACAATCACTTGTTTTAAAACATAGGTTTATTTGTGATCCTCTATTTCTGATCTAAAACTCACAATCGATTGATTATTTTTATTATTATTTCAAAGCATTCATTCAAAAGCAAATGTATAAAGACAGAATAGATATTGTTATTATACATAATATTGTTATATATCCTATAGAACAGTTGGAATAATTTGAAAATAGTTTAATGAAATTAGTTGCTGATTTATTAATAGAGCAATTAAGTAAATACCTAATTTATTGACCATAACCCTATACTATATACATAAATATATATAATCCGATACGCGAGAAGTTAATTAAGATGGGTATTCATTAATATTTATTGACAGTTCATACATTTGTGATATAATAAGATATATATTAATCAAACCAATTGCAGACGATTGATTAGGATACTGGATTGGTATTTTATGCGTCGAAATCGTTAGTAAACTTTGTAGCAGCTATGTTCAAATTATTCCGATAATAAAAGTCAAAATATCACACTGTTTAGATAGTACTTCTAAGAATACATGGGCATAGTGTTGAACTAAACAAGGAAATACTAAAAAGTGTTAAATTTTAAAGCGAAACACTCTATAAAAATACGTGACCAAACCAAATCCTTTGTATTAACGTCACATTGTGACATGAAATTAAACAGTAAGCTATAATTTACATTGTTTTCGAGAAGATACAGTATACTTATTATTATACAATGTAAAGTTATCTGCCATTCCGAGTGCCCATGTTTGTTTTTTCACCATCACATTCACTTTTAGACTTTTACAATTATTTCAAAATAAATTGGCGCACTACTCCACTGTTATATTGAAAACTTTTTTTTAACAATAGATACAGGTGAGTAAATGCATCTGCCACGACACGTTCAGAGGTGTAGACTAAAAAATAAAGAAAATATGATTTCCGTAACGTTCTAAAAATAATTTCAGTTTCGTGATTTCTCTATTTGTGACTAAACCAAAATGGTTTCCACATGTTGCAGGATAGGCTACATATATAAATACATGTATAGCTGAGGTAATTTTCATCAGAGATAATGTAAGACGTTTGTCTATCCTAAATTTTCCACCCATAAACCTTTTGTTTAGGAAAAGAACCCCCGATTTAACTTTAACAAAATATTTACCTTTACTTTTTAGTGATGATGTTCCTCTCAATGTTCGGATAGCCTACCAATGCAGAACAAGAATAGTATTGATATTGAAATCTAAAAAGGGACTGACTTCATTTTCCATATTTTCCAATAATGTTACTGCACTCCTCAACCTTGATTTCACAAATTTTTATAAAAGTTCTCATTTTATATTTCGTGACATTGTGCTTACAATAAAAACGTATTTCTTATTTCACTTACAGGTAACATCTGCCAACCACCAGAACAAATTCACCTCAGCTTTGGAAAATCAAGCAATGAAATGATAGTCATGTGGGCAACTCCCATTCATGTGAAATCGTGGGTAACGTATAGAGAATCTGGCAAACAGGAGGAAAGCAATTCTAGTAGTACCATAGCTGAATTAACACACGATTCCGACTCAGCTTTCAGATACATTCACAGAGCTCTGTTGAAGGTAAGACAGTTCAAGAGATTCAAGAGACGATCACTACAGATTGTTGCATTTTAGTTGTTAACTGGCACTACAGATTGCATTTCAACTGATAAGCAGACAGATAAGACTAGTATTCGAGGACTGTTTCTAATAGATTCTATGCATTTATTCATAACACATTCCAGATTTTGTTTTCATTCACGTGCTGCGATGTCTTTGTTGACTTCTATGTTTTACATATCGATATTCAATGTCTATTTTAACATTTGCAGGATCTAAAAGAAGGTACGCTGTATCAATATGAAGTAACAGCAGAGTGTCCACAAAAGAAGATGACCAGCAATTCCTATAATTTTACAACTATCTCTTCGAACAATGTAAGTCGGCATATAGAATAGAAGGCATAACTACCGCTGCCAAATCTGTAAAACATTCGCATGATGTTCTATTTAAACTTAGTGATGGGCCGTTTGTCGCAAATAATCGGTTGTCCTTCGATTATGTCCTACCGATTGCGACAATCGGTTTAGAACATGAAAAATTGATCAACAAACACACGAACGCACCTCAGGAGGTCACTCTACTGTCTAGTCGGAGACTGGTATGGCAGACGACAAGGAAGAAGGCATAAAACCATAGCGTTATAAATAGAACGAAATGAAAATGAAATGAATGGAGTTTTATGTCCTACTTTTCTGCACCATGTGGGCTAATGAAGACGGGCAACGCCATGCAGGGTGCGATGAGGGAAATTTTGCCAGGACAGCGGCATTAGCCTGCTCTTTTTCGATTTCCAACTGTCGAGGGATCTTTAACGTGCACAGCCTGTAGCACACGGGGCCTCGGTTTATTGTCCCATCCGAACGACTAGACGCTTTTTCCATGTCAGCCCCTCTTACCTGCATCACTGACAGGGGGAAACCGGGTTGAAAAATCCGAAGGTATTATCTCGACCTATGCCGGGATTGAACCCTGGACCTTCAGGTTAGCGAGCAAGCGTCTAACTCACTGAGCCACCGCGGCTCCCCTATAAATAGAACGGGTTTATTCTTAAAATGTGCGGGTTTCATGTCACATTATAATTTGAAAATGCATAGACCTAGTAAATGCGTTTGGAATCACAGAAAATTCATTTTACGGACGCAATCCTAACCGCAGAAGATAATTTTTTTTAGCTGAAATGTTGCGGCTCACAATCGTTTTCAAACCTCTCCTAGAATTTTGACATTGAACTATAGTTAGTGGGGGTGAAGCTAAGTATAAAACCAAAAAGATCAACGCCCTGCCAGTTTTAAAAAATTTCTCCGGGGTCGCCCCATTGGTTCTTCGCGGCGATGGACTACGACACAAATTCGGTGGGGGGGATTTTAAGGAAGACGTACGGTAAAAAGAATTACCTTGTTTACTGCCATTTACGTAGTGTGGCGTTAGGCCTATCCCCTCTATAGCCACCATTTTGTTTCTCAATGAGTTCTATATACTACGTCATATAGAGAGTGCGCGATCTAGTTATTATATGCATCTATGCATAAAACACATTTGTCCCCATATAGGGGGCAAAACAATATCAAAAGTATGGAAATACTTTCTAAAAGTTAATGAGGACGGCCACCCATCAAATACAATCTAAATATGGCATCTGCCATCTGCCGACTTTGTCGGAAAACTTACAAAAAGAACGTAAATTAAAAGAATAACCAGTCAACTCGTCAACATGTCAACCCGTCGACAAAATTTTGTCGAAAAACTCGTAGAGCTATAAAAGTGACTTGATCGAATATTGATAAAGATCTATATAAATTCATACACAGTGGTGTAACCTATATTTGTGCATATAAGGATTTCGTCAAAAATTAAAAAAATGCAGTTTTTTATGTCTTAGAAGCTTCCTCAGATATTCTACAAAAAAATTGGTTTGTTTCGATTTTCTTTATGAATCCCTCACCCTCACCTCACCCATATTTCATGAGGAATCAACTCGACAATGGCTGCTAACTGCGACATATATTTTCGTATACAATGTTTGATCTATAAATAAGTCGAGATACCCAGTGGTATAATTAACTTCTCTTAGTATATATCTTTAATACTATTTAACTAATGACATTTCATTCAAAGAACAATGATTTTAAAAAATAAAATAGTGACTGACAAAATAAGATAAGGAAATTCGGCCGATAAAAAATGGTGAAATCATAACCCATGATTATCAAAACAAGCAAATGCGGAGGTCACGCGAGGTGAATTATTAATCATTTCCGGAGATGCACGAAAAATAGGTTAGCACGAAATTAGGTTACTGTATATAAAAACAATCTTCCTTCTAAAAAAGACTATTTTGGTATTAAATAGACAATAATGACCAGAACACATGTCATTCCTTTGATTTATTTCATAGAAACATTCTATAATTAGCATCACATACAGTCAGGTGTTTGTGGGGTAACATAGCAAACGAGGTTTCAAAACAGTAGTAGAGTACCGTTCTTGAAAATATTATCCTCTTTTGAAATTGTCTGTACATCCAATATCATTAATAAAATTTCTCAAATTATCCAGTTTGTCATAGAGTGATCAAAATTATACACGCCTTTCATTTTTGATTACTATTGATAATGTTAAACACATTTATTTGTGCTATCAGTACAAATATATTTATTGATAAAAATTATTCGACAACAGGTCTTTTTATATGTGAATTTGCTGACTCTCATGGTCTATTTACGCAATTTCTAAATAATTAAAGATTTAAGGGAATAACAGTATGGCTGTTCAACTGGGTAAAACATACCTCTGTTAAGCATCTCCCTCCAGGAAGCTACCTATTTTGAGCCTTCCCTGACCTAAAAACTGTATGAATACTATGAAATTATCAGTTTCCATCATCTATTAATTAACCGATTATTAATCGGTTAGTCGATCGGTAAGGTCAAACCGATGTCAACCGATAATCTATTATGATTTTCAACAGATTTCCCACATAATATTTAAAACTGATCCTCAGCAATGTCAAGACCGAATAAAAGTTATATTTAACAGACTCGCCACTATGATTTTGTTATAAATTGCATGATCTTTTACAACTCACACTCAAATTTTGTATTTTTAAATCAATATTTGGAATTTAATATTTTTATGTGTAATATTTTATTTTATAGAGCGCTCCCGTCTCGGTAATAGTGTATGGAGATATGGGGGTCAGTCAAAATCTCTCATCTTATGTGGATCAGTTGATGCAGGAAATTCAGTTATTGAAGCATCAAGCAGTCTGGCACATTGGTGACTTTGGATATGATCTTCACTCACACGGAGGCGAGGTAAAATATAAAAGTTAGACATATAGATGCAACTGCCAATTTTATACATAATCAGGTTCAGGTGCAGTCGAATGGAATAGGTCAGGTCAGGTCAGGATGCTTTTAACTTCTATCACCTATCAATGAATTAGCATCGTCAAATTTATTTTTCAAGGTTGGCGACCAATTCCTTCGAGAAATCCAGCCTGTGTCTGCTATCGTGCCATATATGACAGCACCTGGAAATCATGGTAGAGTACATTTTTACTATACAAATACTTACCACATACTAGTGGTTTAATGCTACTTTTCTAAATTTCTAAAGCTTTTTGTATTAATTACAATATTAGCATGTCACCGTTAGACTGATATTCTTGTTACCATCCTATGTTAAGTAAATGGGTAATAAAAAACATTCTTAAGTCCCGGCCATTTATCGTTTCAGAAATTCATAAAGATTTTCATCAATATCGGACAAGATTTAGTCAACCTAATACAGAATGGCCAATACCGATAGATAATATGATGTATAGTTATGATCTAGGACCAATCCATTGGATAAGGTACGTACTTTATTTGGAAATGGTTATAAATACTTATCTCTAGTTTTACGTAGAGCCGAAGGACTTATATTACTTCAAAGCTGAAAGGTGTCGTCAATAATGATAAACCATATGCTTACTTCATTTTGACCCTCACCCATTTGATACGTATAATCCCGTGCAATTCTATACTTGTTCGTAACATCTTCGTAATTGTCTTTTCTTGTCAGTTATTCAACAGAAGTTTATTTCACCAAGGATCAGAATTACGTAAAGAAACAGTTCTATTGGTTATTAAATGATTTAGTTAAAGCTAATAAAAATCGTCACATTCGTCCTTGGATTATTGTCATGGGACATCGTCCATTGTATTGCTCTAACACGGACAGTGATGATTGTACTAACAGGTGGTTTTCGGGCTGGGTGCGACACGGGTAAGTTGGTTTATTACTTTCTTATTCCGATCTGCATGTTTAATCCACCCTAATAACTCTGATCAGCCATTGGTCAACGATGTGCTTTCGATGGTTTCTGGTTCTGGTCCTACCTAAGTTGGTTTATTACTTTCTGATTCCGATCTGCATGTTTAATCCACCCTAATAACTTTGATCAGCCATTGGTCAACGATGTGCTTTCGATGGTTTCTGGTTCTGGTCCTACCTAGATCTAATTTGGCACAGTGAAGAAGCGAGTTTACAATGCTTCTTGTGGACAGAGACGCAAGTCGGCTGCATGGATTCATCAGCTGTTCCTATTTATCGGAAATTATTGTAGTTCCAAAATCCAATGCTGTTATTTCTGGACTTCCTATACGACACTGATTGTTCTTAATTGCGAAGTAATATGTAATTATAGCATGTATATAGTTCTTAACTCGCTTCCAATCTTTTTAAATCAGTGTGAACAATCTTCAATTTAGGTTAGAAGATTTATTTTATGCTCAAGGTGTAGACCTCATACTTCAAGGTCATGAACATTCCTATGAAAGAACATTCCCCATGTACAAAGACAGACCTGTGTCTAACAATTATACACATCCTCGTGCGCCTGTGCACATTATATCCGGTGCAGCCGGATGTTCAGAAGGTTCAGATCCAGAGGCAGTTGTGACTAGTAAGTTGATTCAAATTTCTTGATTTTCGTAAAATTGAGGATAACCATACGTGTGTACATGTGCAATGCTCAGCTGATAAAGTGCGATACACAGTTCATACAGTCTCTATTCATAAGATTTTAAAGCTCGTTTTTCGTTTTTGATTGTAGCAAAGTCATATGTCTTGATACCAGCTGTATAAATGTCAATATAATTTTTTTCAGAGTCGTGGTCTGCTTTGATTGATAGAACATTTCCTAGAAAGAACTCGTACGGTCGACTTCATGCCTATAATAACTCTCACCTTTTGTGGGAAGAAATAGCGTTTGATTCACAATCAATTATAGACAGTGTAATGATAATACAGGAAGCTCATGGTCCATTCGATAACGGTGTTGATTGTGACGAATTTGGTGGTGGTAGTCATCCGAGCTGTCAATGTCCATTTGTGTTTCATTTTCAAACTTGTCAAATTGCAGCACCCATTGTGATAATACTAACGTTCGCGATAATCATCTATGGCACTGTGAAGTGTGTAAAACGGAGAAGACTGAATCGGACAACAGAAAAAGTGGAGTATCTTTTAAATGATGCTAATGATTCTGAAGAAGAATCCTGTTAAAGGATATTCTATCAGGTATTGCAAATTTCCATGTCCAAGTCCGTGCATTGAATTTAAAGGGACAGATGCACCATTTTTTGACCAATAATACTTTAGTCTCAGAAACGGAGATTTAGAACTATCCGCATTTTAAGTTAAAAAAGAAGGGTTGTCTTTTCTTGAGACACTACCTTAAATAGAAAAGACATCTAGAGAAATTAAAGGAAAAGAAATTCAAAGTTTGAGATACATTTGAAGGAATTATGCGATTTATGTACATTTTAGTTGTTCTACTATTTACGTATATTCAAAACACAAATCAATCCCACAAAATGCCGCATCTCTTTAAATGGAGATTATTATACACATGAATGATTATTCCATTGTGCCTCCAATATGTTTTAAAAATATTAATTATATTTAAATGAATAAAACATTTATAGACTACCTTTGTGACAAGAAAGATGTGCGTTTTATTGTTTAAATATGAAACCATAAATTACAGAAATTGATATACCTATGATAATCGCAATCCGGTAAGTCAAGATACACAAGCCGACAAAATCAATTAGGTAGGTATGAAAGTCGAAGAGGAACAAGGCAGATATCCAAGGACAGAGCAAGTGCTTAGTTCCCAGTATCCCTTTTGAAGCATCTCTGATCTCACATATACAACGATAAGCATCGTATACCACAAGATACAAGACTTCAATGATGCTTGATAAAGACGAAAGTATCATCGTCGAAATGTCGCAAGTTATTTATTAAAGTAATTGTTATCCATAAAATCGTATTCATATATTCATACCTCAATTACTAAATGCCACTTAAGGGAGTCATATAGAAAACCATTTTTTTGGATTGTTTTATTATATGGGGCTGAATATATTGCTTTCAAGGATTGTATGCTTGAAATAATTGAAATGAAACCATCTCAACATTACGGGAGATTACACATAATAATAACTTAAGCACTTGAAGATCGACTTTCGTAATTAAATTCTTCTTTGGTATATGTCCACATAATCTTCATATTTTAGTTACGACATATTATATAAAATAGATGTGTCTAAATATATTTAAACATAAGATGGAAAAGAAAAGGGGTAATATAGTAAATCACCTATTGCATATCCCGTTTATTATGTGGACAGAAAGTTATTGGATATAAAACTTTTATTTCTGTTACGCCAAAAGGGCAACTGTACGTAATAGAGTTTTCCTAATCAAGGAAATGTGCCTTTTGTTTAAAATTATATATTTGTGTTTTGGCTTACATTGCCTTCCATAGTATTAATGAGTACAGTCACGCGACTGAAAAATATTTCCAATGGTCAAGGATGAACGACTTTTTACTACATCAACAAAATGGCATCGAAAGAGATACCCATTGCCACGTGCCGGCCCTGCAAAGCAACCATGCATTTCACCTTATCTACACAACTCATGGTCGTGGCAGTCATAATTTCATTGTTTGTATCATTATTGTTACTTACTTACTAAGGGGTGTCGGTTTCAAAAGCCTTTCGAAATCTCAAGGATCGGATCTCAAAGTACAAATCACTACACATTACCTGAATGTATATTGCGGTATTTAAATTTGTAAATAGTTTTCTTACCGTGTTACTTTTGAGAATTTTTTAATGGAATTTGGAAATCAAAGTTAGGTACTGTTAGTCAAGGTACAATGATTACAAATTTGTTGTGCAGGTCAAATAGAATCATTTTTGACTACTTAGAGTTGGGTTTCCTTATTTTGATTTTTGAAAATGAAAATGCTAATACTTATTATAGAAAGTAGGGGTGTTCTAATGACTTGGAAAAATACCAGTTTGTATAAGAACATAGTGATATGATTAAGAATACACGATAATTCATTAGAAACACCAATTAATAAATTAGTTTGCTTAATTTGACACTAAACAATATGGATCATGCAGTGCAAATAGATCTCGCATTTTCATAAACTGTTTAGATGTTGGGGTTTGACTAAACGTCTGATATTACAGATAAATAACTTGGAATAACAGATTCTCAACCAAAGACAAAACATAAACTATCCAATAAGCTTATCCAATTGAATTTTGGTGTTTAGAACACTTTTGCACACGAACATTGAAATAAAACACTCTATCTCCTTAGCTGATTTAAGCCATTTTCTCTTCCAACTTTCTTTTTTGTATTTGCCCGTAATTTCGTCTTTGTAATAATGGCTGAATCTGACACATGTAGATTCTTTCCCCTTTACAAAGCTTTCATTATTTTTGTAACGGTCACTGGACATTGCATAGCCTTTGACCACCTACCCACTGGACATTTTCATCTTTATTTTATAAGGGTAGTTCTCATTGCATTAGTTTATAGGATTAGATTAGGATTTTTTAGGAAGTTATCAATTTAAATTATCTGATAACAAACTTACGTTTCATTTGAAAATTATGGATAGGTTAAAGGAGGTGGAGGAAGAGGATATTTTTGGGGTGTGTGTGTGTGACACTCTAGTTCAAAGTGTTCATATCGAAGATGGGGTAACCTCATGGATGAATAATAAATTAAAAGGTAAGTGGCCAAATAAGTCAGAAGATATGGAACGTAGTACTGATAGGTCCAGTAATCAGATTCCGAAGCTATCAATATTTTACGGTGAGTCTGGGAAAGGAGAGGTAGGTTATGATCTCTGGAGATATGAAGCTGATTGCCTGATATCAGAGCACGTGTACCCTGATCATATTAGTTTGCTAGCTATTCGTCGCTCATTAAAATGAGAAGCTGGTAAAGTTATCATGCGTCTTGGAACTAAAGCAACCATTAAAGAAATATTAGCTAAATTAAAAAGTGTGTTCGGTATATGCGAAGAATCCGAATCATTAATAGCTACTTTTTACAGTGCTCGACATAGAGAAGCTGAATCTGTCACTGCCTGGGTATGCAGAGTTGAAGATCTGTTTGCTAAGCAACTGAAAGTGAACATTCAAATCCTTATGAGGCTGGCACTGCGATCCGTCGAGTGTTTTGGCATGGGTTATTAACTCATTTGAAAGATGTATCTTCTCACAAATACGACTTACATCTTTTGATGATCTTGGGGTAATGCGAATTAAATTCGATTTCAATAGTCGAAAATCGACCACTTCTGAAGTAAAACCTAAACAATCAAACATGGTTACTTCTAATCGTTCAAAAGAATTGCAGGAGCTTAAAGGTACAGTTAAGACGTTGTCTACTCAAATGGGTGAGTTGAAGGAAACTGTATCCCAGCTTGTCCAACCTGTTCAACCATCTTAAAGTACGTCCACAAATCACAGAGATGGGAATGGTAGATTTGGAACTTCGAGAAATTTTCGAAGTAATTTTTACACGGGGCCTGTGTGCTGGAGATGTGGTGAAAATGGCCACTTACAGATGAATTGTAGATCAGCAACTCAGCTTTATAATTGGTCGTTCAAAACTTCAGGTGACGTTGAAGAGCAGCAATTTGTCTACAAGATAAAAGAGTTTGATATTCTTGATAAAGTACAGGTTGATCATAGTGATTTGACAACCGAAGAAATAGATCAAGGTAATAAACTGTTATTGAGTTTTAATGATATATTTGCCACAAATGATTAAGGTTTAGGTCATACTTCACGGGTAAAACATAGGATTGAGCTTATGGATGAACGACCTTTCAAACAACGTTCTAGAAGAGAACAGAGGTGAAAGAGCATTTGAAACAATTAATGACATGAGCAATAATTCGTCCATCCCATAGTCCACATTGTCTTTTGCAGAAGGAAGAATGGTAAATACGCATTCGTACGGATTTTCGTCGATTGAATATATGAAAAATTAAGGATTCAATTGCTCTGCCTAGATTTGATGAGGTATATGACTATTTAGCGGGAAAAGCTTTCTACAGTAAGTTAGACATGAAATCTGGTTATTATCAATAGCATTAGAAGAGGAGCACAAGGAACGTACAGCGTTCGTGTCGTGTATTTTGATGATTTGATTAGTTTTGCAGATACATACGACACTTGGAACGACTTAAACTCGTTTACAAAGAATTCGTGAGTGTAATTTAAAATTTGTCATTTCAGGGCTATTTTTCTTAATGTTACTTTTAGCTGTAATGCTGTATGGTTGGTGGTTAATGGTTTTATGGTGTAGTCGATATAACTGATAATAGCGGAATGGATACCGTATTAGTAAGATGGTATATTGTACCGATACAGATCGGCGACTAATTTGTCCATGTAGTATATGTTGGAGGTGTGTGAAACGCACCACGTATTAGATGTATATGTGTAATAAACGTATATAAGTTTTATCTGTAATTATTCCATCCTTCGGCCCGAATCCGTGGCGAGTCCCATTTTACCATCTCAGACTGGGGTGATTAGTAGCTGCGACATTAACATCGTGGGTTATTGGACATATCTTCATTGGAAGGTTTAGCAACAATATCACGGTTATTAGACAAGTACTTATTGGCAGGTTCAGCAACAGTATCATCAGATTATCGGATATGTAATTTATATGTACAAATATTCTTTCCATATCTGTTAATCAAAAAATGTTTTCGTATATTAAATTTTTACAAATTATGTATATAATGTTTGTATATCATGTAATAATAAGTTAATGCACTAAGTTACAATAATGCAAATACATTTTCTTTGCTATTTAATTTATGCAAATATGTCCAAATATACATTAATTGATTAATTTAACTCAAAATGGATTCATAATTTTTATTTTACATTTACATGTAAATATATTGTATATTAATAATGACATAATAATATGCTAAAGCATTGTGTTTCGAACATGTATATGCTAATGCAATAAACTTAATCAATCAATCAATGTCATTAACAGGTTCAGCAACATTGAAGGTTATTGACATGTACTCATTAGCAGGCCCAGCAACATTATCATCACGGTTATTGACATGTACTCTTTTACAGATTCAGCAACATTATCATCACGGTTATTGACATGTACTCTTTTACACATTCAGCAACATTATCATCACGATTATTGACATGTACTCTTTTACACATTCAGCAACATTATCATCACGGTTATTGACATGTACTCTTTTACACATTCAGCAACATTATCATCACGGTTATTGACATGTACTCTTTTACACATTCAGCAACATTATCATCACGGTTATTGACATGTACTCTTTAACAGATTCAGCAACATTATCATCACGATTATTGACATATACTCATTGGCAGGTTCAGTAGCATTATCCATTTCTTCATTATATGCGCCTTCTGGTATCTTACTCGCTTCGCTTGAAATATCTTGATTTTTTTCAGATATTAAGCGGAATTCCATCCTGACTATTTCAGTCTCATTATGAAGAAGAAGAATTAGCATGTATAATTGTAAGGAGCTTCTCTTTGCACCTTGATTTAGTCGGGGATACCATCCCTCAACTTCATTATGTTTGCGGATTAATTGTCCATACACTGACCAATCATTAACATCACAAATGGATTGTCATCCACGTTGACTCCATAGAAGCACAAAAAGGTGACAGGTTTGACAGATGTAGAATAATGATCGAAAGTGGGGTGTGTATATGCAATAACTTTTCTTACAAGCTTGTGATACGAAGCCTTTCTAGACGTAGAATGAGATTTGCAATAAATGTATATTGTTCCACAAATCGTTTAACATAGTTTTACGTCTTTTTTTGGGCGTATTTAATTGTTTCACGTTTGATGAGAATTTTCAGTGAGTCCCACCATATTAATGGTTTACCGTACTCTAGTTGTTGGATATTCAATAGACTCAAATACATAGACAGTATGATTGGTGGTCTGATTCCTCTTTATTCCAAGGACGAGTTATCTCCCTTGAGAACAAGCACACTTCCGTTTCTTAGTCTGATGTAAACTGTAGAAATAATCATTATGAATGATATTAAACTTTGCCTCAATCTTATTATATTATAAGTATCGAACATGGCGCTGCGAGCAACTACAGAGTAGAAAGAAAATAAAGCTGAAAACAACTTCAAAATGAGTGGTCAAGATGAAAATGCCCAACCGGTAGGCAACAATAACAATACCGTAAACAATGAGGTCAGACATCAACATGTCAAACCAGCATCATCCTACAACGTACCTATTTTGGAAGTTGAAAGTGACTCTAAAGGTTCTAATTTTGACGTTTGGGTTCGAAAATGGAATGCCTATATTTTAATTACGGGATTAAATCAACAACCTTTTGACACTCAATTAGCAGCATTAACTCTAGCTCTGTCAGACGAGGCCTTCAAAATATTCGACCATCTACCTCCAGAAGATTGTACATCTTCAGACACAGTCATAAATGCATTGAGAAGACATGTCAAAGGTCAAGTTAATGTAATTATTGAACGAAGAAATTTTTATCTTCGAGATCAATTGGAAGGTGAATCTTTTGATGATTGGCTAACAGAACTAAAAGATTTGATGAAAACTTGTCAATTCTGTGACAACTGTCATGACAGCATGCTACGTGATAGAATCGTTGTAGGACATCATAACGCCACAACTGTACAGATTCTTCTAGCTAAGAAAGACCTTGATCTATCTACTGCTGTTTGCTAACAAAAACAGAGATGAAATCAAAGGCGAATTCTCCTGCAAAATATCAAAGTACAGAAAGTCAAAATCTTCAAACCAATCACACTCAAAAGCTATAGATGTTGAAACCAAAATGTCTTGTGGCAAATGTGGAAAAAGTCAATATCCAGCTGACAAATGTCCAGCTAAAGACAATATTTGTAGAAAATGTTCCAAGAAAGGACATTATGCAACAGTTTGTCGCTCAGCTTCTGGGGAGAATAATCCGAAGAAGTCTGCACCTAAACCTAGATTATCTACAATAACAGCCAGGATAGCTAGAATAGAAAGGTCACCAAGAGTGCAAATTATGATGAAACCAAATCATCTAAAAAAGCAGAATTAAAAATTTCAGCGATGCCTGATACTGGATCAGAAATATCAGCAATTGGTAAAGATTTGATGAATAAATTCAGGATCAAATCTCATGATCTTTTCAAAGATACAGATCAACCAGTTTTTAAATCAGCAGATAACCATGACATAGAGAATCTTGGAATATGCTATGCAACGGTGAAGTTGGGTACCCGAACTATTGAAGAAAAATTTCATGTCTTAAAAGGAGTTCAGGGATGCATCTTGTCATAGAAAACTACAAAAGCTTTGGACATAATACCCAAAGATTATCCAAGACAAATATCACCCGAAACTTCAGAAGTGAAGAAAATTCATCATTCTGCCAAAGTTGATAATAGTAGTACACAATTAAAATCAGAGGACATCATCAAAGAATTTTCAGCTGTTTTCAGCGATGAAATTAAGCCAATGCCTGGAGAAGAATTTACAATTCAACTCACTGACGACGCTGTCCCATTTTGTGTAGCAACACCAAGAAGAGTAGCCTATGCATACAGAGATAAGTTGAAGAAGGAACTTGATGACCTTGTTGATAAGAAAATCATCGAATCAGTTACCTACCCAACAGCTTGGTGTGCACCTTTAGTAGTTACACCCAAAAAAGGCTTAGCCGATATACGCCTGTGTGTAGATCGGTCGCATCTCAACAAATACGTTAAACGAGACCGATACCAGTCTCCAACACCTGCTGAAGCTGTAGCCGACATAGCTGCAACAAAATCAAAATGGTTTACAACTATGGACGCACTTAAAGGTTATCACCAATGCCCTCTTGACGAGAAGAGTCAAGATTACACAACCTTTATCACACCGTTTGGGCGATACAAATATATTCGTGCACCTTTCGGTATTTGTTCTATTTCCGAGCATTACAATAGAAGAATGAACGAAGCATTTATTGGCCTTCAAGGATATCGAAGAATCGTAGATGATGTCACAATTTACGATATTGACCTTGATAGCCATTTACAACATGTTCGACAATTCCTACAGAGATGTCAAGAACGTGGTATTACCTTAAAGAAGGAGAAATTCAAATTTGCACAACAAGTGGAATTCGCTGGATTTATATTATCAGCAGATGGTTACAGTCCTGATCCTAAAATCTAAAAACAGATTACCCAGTCCCTACTAACATCACTGATGTAAGGTCGTTTATTGGTCTAGTTAATCAACTAGGGTCATTCTTGTCAAAGATAGCTGCCGCTACAGAGAACTTTCGACCACTCCTTCGTCCAAAGAACGAATTTCAGTGGAATGAAATCCACCAAAAATCATTCGAAGAAGCAAAGAAAATGTTGTCCAGTACTCCAACATTAGCATACTTTGATCCATCAAAGCCCACATCACTTCAGACTGATGCTAGTCGTCTTAATGGACTTGGATTTGTCCTACTCCAGCTTCATAATAATGAATGGAAATTGGTCCAAGCAGGTTATAGATACCTAACAGAGACAGAAGCTAGATATGCTATGATAGAGATCGAGCTACTAGCCGTGGCTTGGTCAGTTAAGAAATGTAACCCTTTTCTTGCTGGACTCGATCAATTTAAAATTGTTACCGACCACAAGCCTCTAATTCCAATCATGAATAATCATCGCCTGGATGAAATAGAAAATCCTCGCCTACAAAGATTAAGAATGAAACTACTACCCTACAAGTTTAAAGCGGTATGGAAGAAAGGGAAAGATCATGCTGCACCTGATGCATTATCAAGGGCTCCAGTCGTAACGCCTACTGCATAATGATCAATATTTTATCGATGAAGAGATCGACACGCTTCATCTGGATTTAATACGTCAAGCTGTAAAAGATGCAGACATGGATCCTCGCCTTTCAGATATTCGTCAATCCAGTATTGTCGATAAAGAATATCAAAATCTCGTCGAAGTGGTAAGAAATGGTTTTCCACACGCATGAAATCAACTTTCACAGGATTTGAAACATTACTGGATCAAACATCAATCGATGACAACCTCTTAGTAGTTGGACCTCGACTCCTCATACCAAAATCTCTTCGTCAGAAAATTGTCAATGATTTACATGCTTCACATCAAGGCATCACCAGAACCAAAGCTAGAGCAAGAGTAATCGTCTATTGGCCCGGTATTGACAACGATATCGAGAATGTCATTCGTTCCTGTAAAGCTTGCACTGAAGAATTACCATCGCAATCTAAAGAACCAATGACGAGACGAAACCCAGAACCTGACAGAGTGTTTCAACATATTTGTGCTGATTTGGGTTCCTTTGGAGGTGAACAATGGCTCGTAATGGGAAATATTCAACGACGAATCAAATCATTAAGAGTTTTCAAGATAGTTTCATGGAATCATCTATACCAGAAGTACTTTGGACAGATGGAGGTCCCCAATTTACCTCGAAAACCATGAAAGACTTTTTTAAACTATGGGGAATTGAACATAAAGTATCTTCACCCCATTTTCCACAATCAAATGGAAAGGCCGAAGCTACAGTTAAATCTATGAAAAAACTGATAAGACGATGTTGGACAGGTAGAAATATCAACATGAACAAATGGATTACAGCTCTACTTCAATTCAAGAATACGCCAAAAGCAGATGGTACGTCACCCGCTGTTAAAGTATTTGGCCATCCTCTTCGAGATAATATGCCTGCTCACCGACGATCTTTCGCTCCAGAGTGGCAAAAAATAATAGCTGATGCTGATGAGAAATCTTCCATACACAGTAATGAAGTGGAAAAACGCTACAATAAAACTGCACAACCACTTTTATCATTATCTGTTGGAAACAAAGTAGTCTTTCAAAATGACAGAACGAAGCGTTGGACGATTAATCGATCAATTATTAAAATTGGTAATCATAGAGACTATTTCATTGCAACTGATGGTGGTCGTGTATTACGACGAACTAGAAAGTTTCTTAGACGTCGTTACCCACTGGTCCCTATACCAAAATCTGCATCAAGGACCACTTTCCAGATCAAACGATATCACATTCACCAAATGTTACAATAACACCAGTTTCGCCACAGACAGCCAGAAATTGGAGAAGTTTACGTCAACGTCGCCCACCGAAGAGATTAAATTTGTGAAATTTCCTTAAGCGAAAAGAACTTTAAGACTTTTTACAAGAACTCCGTTATTTTTTAAAAAATCTCCAGGGGAGGTGTTGGATATTCAATAGACTCCAATACATAGACAGTATGATTGGTGGTCTGATTCCTCTTTATTCCAAGGACGAGTTATCTCACTTGAGAACAAGCACACTTCCGTTTCTTAGTCTGATGTAAACTGTAGAAATAATCATTATGAATGATATTAAACTTTGCCTCAATCTTATTATGATATTATAAGTATCGAACACTAGTATAGTTCGTCACAGAGTTAAAATCACCGAAAATGGCATTGTTTTCGTTAGGATTGATTTAGTTTGTTAGTTTCAAGGAAGAGGGAGGGGCTTTGGGTGTGTTATTTTCGTCTTTGCCAGTTTTCATTTCAATTAGTTCGATTATTGAAAATTCAGTCGTTAATTCTCCCAAAAGTGGCGAAATATTTTCAAAGTAATATATTCGAGTCGATTCAGATGGGTTTAGGTTTTCCTTGGCTTGTTCGTTAGTCTTTATACGTATCTCAGCCACGTGTGGCATCTGCTGTGTTGTCGGGGTGACGTCTAGTTTGACTTTTTTTTTTAGATTTGTGTTCATTTAAGCTTGAATTGTTGGATTGTTTGCTCACACGCCTGTTATGCTTTCCGTATCTTGATTAGTTGAAAGGTTATCACTCAAAAGTTCGTTAGAAGTACTGTTAATGCCATCTGTGATGGAACAATACGATTACTGTTGTCTTGATTTAAATAAAGTTGCGTCCCAATTTATGGAAGTACATTAATGTAAACACCGCCACTTTAAACTTTATTTCATATTCTTAGACATTTCAGAAAGTGTTGCCTCTCACAGGGTAATTACTGTTTATGTTATTGTAGATTTGTTTAATTAGCAAAGTGTCTAAAATTTTATTATTTCATCTGTGTTCAGTTTAAAACATGTCATCATGTGAACTTCGTTTGGTGTAACCTTTAATTTTCACATGTAAGCTAGGCCTATTATATTGACAAAATGAGAAGAATCATAATATCTGTACTTGTATTTATCAGTTGTATTTTGTATTTTTAGTTTTTCACTCTCTTCCGAGAGTCTACTGTATATGGTTGTGTTGAGAGATATCAATAAAGCTTAAAACAGTACAGTGAAAAACCTCTGGTAATGGCAAACTTAACCTCACAGACTGATTTGGACGACGTGATTTCACCCGCACAACGCGTCGACGATGGGAAGACACCCACTGATGAAGAAAGGTTCAAGGCAGAGCGTACACCTTCAAGATCCAGATCTGGACGTTCCAGAACATCAAATGTGTCAAGTCATGGCAGTCAAACCCTGTTAATGACTTCAAAGGCTAAGATGGCAGCAGCCAAATCTCGCCTTCAGTATGTTAAGAGAGAAACTGACAATAAGAATCAACAGGCACTACTCGATGCAAATTTGACCGTAATTCAACATGAAAAAGAAGCTTCCGTAGCAGAAGCTGAATACAAAGCGATGGAAGAAATGGTGAACTATTCAGACAGTAGCAGCAGTCGTAGTGATTCAGATATAAGAGAAGTGAAAGAAACAAGAACAAGAAATTTCGCTATGAAACCATCGACTCCATATGGTGAAATGCCAGTCTTATCGCCTCAAAATGGTTTACTTCCTAGGGAGGACACTCCACGTGATATACAAACAGTGCCTGGTCGAATCCAATACCAACACTCAACTAATGTGGACAGAATGAACAATTTGTCCCCCACAATTTCAGAAATGTTATGTACCCCCGATCCTGTGCAGACCCAAGCTGACTTGAACCCAAGTGCAACCCCATTCCAACCTGTATGTTGAAATGCAACGCCTCTCTGTGCATTTACCCATTGTGTCTAATAATTGTAGTTCTCTCCCTTGTCACACTCAGGGTCCAGCTTACACTGATATTGCTAAGCTTATGATTAAGAAAGATTTATCGTTTTCTAGGTTGGTAAAATATAATGACAAACCGGAATTTTTTAGCTCTTGGAAATCAAGTTTTTGTGATGTTATATCTGATCTTGATCTTAAGCCTTTAGAAGAGATTGATCTCTTAATAAAATGGTTAGGTCCAGAATCTTCCAAACAAGCACCAAGTTTAAAAGCTGCCAATCCTGGCAATATTAAGAAAGGTCTAAATTGCATTTGGGAACGTTTGAACGATCGATATGCATCTCCCGAACTAATAGAATCGGCCATTAAGAATAAACTTTCATCTTTCGCAACAATCACATATAAAGAGAATAAACGACTGTATGATTTATGTGATATAGTGTCAGAGATAGAATCTATTAAGGAGAACGATAGATATAGAACTTTATTTAGTTATTATGACTGTTCAACTGGAGTCTCCCCGATTGTAAGTAAACTTCCAGTTGCTTATCAAGAAAAATGGGCGCGTGAAGCTGTTAAGTATAAGAAAAGGTACAACGTCGCTTACCCACCTTTTAGACATTTCGCCGAATTTTTAAGAGATCTTGCTCAGGTTAAAAACGATCCTAGCTTTCATTATGAGAGCACGACTCCGCATATTAAAACCAAACCTCTAATAACTACGTTTTCGAAGAGAGATTATATGGATATCTCTACTAAAAAGACTGAGACTGTAACCGAACCAAATCGTGGCAAATCCATCTCAGAGGATCTTTGTCCCATTCATCAATCCAATCACACTTTGAACCAGTGCAGATTCTTTCGCATGAAACCATCTAATGAGAAAACGGAATTTTTGTTTCAGAAGGGTTTATGTTTTAAATGTTGTGGAACAAAGAGCCATTTGGCGAAGGACTATACAGCTAAGGTGCAATGTGAAGTTTGCAAGAGTGCTAAACATCCAACTGCACTGCATAACTCTAAGGACGACAGCACAACTACACACTCCAAAACTGTGATCGATCACGGCGGGGAGAATTCCGTCAATTCAACAGATCAAACTAATGAACAAAAATGTGAGCTCAAAGTGTACTGAACTTTGTGAGAAACCATTTAATGGGAGATCCTGTGCTAAAGCAGTCTTAGTGAATGTATACCAAGAAGGTTCTGATAAGTATTTACAGACATACGCTTTGATCGATGACCAGAGCAATAAATCTGTGGCCAAGACAGAATTTTTCGATCACTTTGAGGAACGAGGAGATGAGATTGAGTATGCCTTATCTTCGTGTGCTGGTCACTTCATTTCAACTGGACGACGTACCCGTGCTAAATATATGATAGAAGCCGTTGACTCTACTTGCCTAGGCTGATCGAATGTAATGACATTCCGAACAACAGGAATGAAATTCCAACTGAAGTTTGTTCCTATTACCCCCATTTAGATAAAGTAGAACTTCCCAGTATGAACGCCAATGCAGACATTTTACTTTTAATTGGACGTGATTTACTTGAGGCTCACCGTGTCTAGGATCAGTGTGTTGGGCCTTCAGAAACTCCTTTTGCTCAAAAGCTACCCTTAGGATGGGTGATAATTGGTGAGGTGTGCTTAGGTGAGATCCATCTAGCTGATACAGTGAACGTTAACAAAACATTTGTACTCCAAAACGATCGACCGTCAATATTTGAACCTTGTGAGAATTCTTTCAAACTTAATGACAATATTTATCAATCTATAGACGATTTAGGAAACTCTGTTTTCATGAGAACACGGAACGACAACAAACTGGGACTGTCGGTGGAAGATAAACAGTTTCTGCAAATTGTTGATGATGGAATTACCAAGAACGCAGCTGGAAACTGGGTCATTCCCCTGCCTTTGCGCAAAGATAGACTACCTATGTCGAGTAATAGAGAGAGTGCATTAAAGAGAGCCACTTCATTGGAATTCAGCCTGAAAAAGAATCCTGAAAAGAAAGAACAATTTCGTGAATTTATGCAGAAAGTATTCGACAACAAGCATGCAGAGATTGCCCCTCCTCTGAAAGATGGAGAAGAACACTGGTATTTACCCATCTTTGGGGTCTTTCATCCAAAGAAACCGAAACAAATAAGAGTCGTGTTTGACTCTTCAGCTAAACACCGGGGAGTCTCACTCAACAATATGTTACTGACTGGACCAGACCTTACCAATAGCTTACTGAGCATCCTCCTCAGATTCCGGAAGGAACCCGTAGCGGTGACAGTTGATATCCAACAGATGTTTTTTGGTTTTCAAGTAAATGAAGAGCACAGAAACTTTCTCAGATTTTTCTGGTATGAAAACAATGATATGGATAAACCTCTCAGAGAATACCGCATGTGCGTTCATGTGTTTGGGAACTCTCCTTCCCCCGCTGTAGCAACATACGGACTTCGTAAATCAGCTGAAAATGCCCAAGAAGACGTTTGCGACTTCATTACGAACAACTTCTATGTCGATGATGGCTTAACATCGATTCCTTCATCAGATATGGCTATCGACCTGGTTAAACGGACTCAAAAGGCAGGTAATCTACGAGTACACAAGATCGCATCAAATAGTAAGGCTGTAATGGAAGCCTTTCCCGCGGACGATTTAGCGAAGGATTTTAAAGAACTCAACATCGGAGGTAATCCACCCTTGCAACGAAGTCTTGGAATTTGTTGGAATGTGGCACTAGACGCCTTCATATTTAAAATTTCATCCGATGTGAAACCCTTTACCAGAAGAGGTCTGTTATCTACAGTTAACAGTTTATATGACACCTTAGGATTCTCTGCTCCCGTTGTAGTACAAGGCAAACTATTCCTACGGAATTGGATATCGGGAACTGATTGGGACGAACCGCTCCCTACAGAGCATGAAGAAATGTGGAATTCTTGGAGAGAATCTTTGTCAGCATTAGAAGAACTCCAAATCAATAGAACTTATACGAATAATCTCACCCCTATATCCGAGATACACGTCTTCTGTGATGCGTCAAAAGAAGCTATAGCAGCCTCATCATATCTGAAGACAATTGACCCAGAAGGAAACCCGCGTGTGTCATTTATACTTGGAAAAGCCAAAGTCGCCCCTCAACATGGACATACCATCCCTCGGCTTGAACTTTGTGCTTCTGTTTTAGCAGTTGAAATCGCCGAAGTAGTATGTGAAAGTTTAGGTTATGATATGAACTCTGTGAAATTGTAGCCAAGTTGTACTTGGGTACATTAACAATGAGTGAAGGCGTTTTTATGTGTACGTTGAGCATAGAGTGAACAGAATTAGAAATTCTACAAAACCTCAACAATGGCGTTATGTCAACACCGACACTAATCCAGCAGACGAAGGAACACGACCTATTCCTGCTTCCGTTTGAAGAACAGTAAATGGTTAACTGGACCATCATTTCTCAGTGAGAAGCCTGTTGATGAAGCACTGACTTTTCCATTAGTCGACGAAGAACAAGATAGTGAACTACGACCAGAAGTTCGTGTGAGTAAAGGAAACATAACTGTTATTAAATCTAAGATTGGACTTGAAAGATTTTCAACGTGGGATAAATTAGTCAGAGCTATCGCATATTTAAAGTCCTATATCAGGAACCGCACAAGGAACCACGTAATCCTAGGAACCAAGAACTTTATCATGAATCAGAGAATTTTATCATCCAACAAATTCAACAAGTCTACTATAGTGAAGAGATTCAGAATCTTTCCAGAAACACATCCATTCCAAAAGGAAGTAGCATCATATCATTATCGTCAGTTCTAGATAAGGATGAGATTCTTCGCTTAGGAGGACGTCTCTCAAAATCGAGCTCAAGTCTTGAAGAGAAAAACCCAATAATCACACCAGGACGTACTTATATTGCTAAACTGTTAGTGTTACACTTTCATTCCATGGTCAAACATCAAGGTAGACATTTTACCGAAGGACTCATTAGGTCTCATGGTTTTTGGATATTAGGTGCCAAAAGGCTTATATCATCTCTCATTCAAAGGTGTGTAACATGTAAAAGACTTCGAGGAAAACTGGAATATCAGAAAATGGCAGATTTGCCGACTTACTCCTAACCCCCCATTTAGTTATGTAGGGGTCGACGTGTTTGGACCTTGGTCAGTGGTAGCAAGACGCACACGGGGAGGTCAGGCGAGTGCCAAACGTTGGGCAGTTCTTTTATCCTGTCTGACATCAAGAGCGATCCATATTGAATTGATTGAAGAAATGAGCTCGTCTTCATTCATCAACTCTCTCCGAAGATTTATTTCAGTTCGTGGTGCCGTGAAACAATTTCGTTCGGATAGAGGAACTAATTTTGTTGGAAGTGTAAAGGACCTCCAAATGAATGCCATAAAGGTGTCAGATGGAACTGTGGCTGATTTTTTATTCAAACAAGGCTCCACTTGGAAATTTAACCCTCCCCACTCCTCTCACATGGGTGGAGTGTGGGAACGGATGATTGGGGTAGCGAGACGCATATTGGATGCTATGTTACTGGATCATAAACACAGAAATTTAACACATGAAGTTTTATCTACTCTTATGTAAGAAGTTTCAGCAATTGTTAATGCCAGACCTATCATGGTACTTTCGTCAGACCCAGAGTCTTCATCCGTTTTAAGTCCATCAGTTTTATTAACCCAAAAGTCGGTGAATTCAGATTTTGGAACTTGTAATTTTGATATCAAGGACTCTTATAAATCTCAGTGGAAATTTGTGCAAGTTCTTTCCAATACGTTTTGGTCGAAGTGAAGAAAAGAGTACTTGCAAACATTACAAAACAGACAAAAATGGCACCAAGAAAACCGAAATGTGTCAAAAGATGACATCGTGTTGTTAAAAGACAATTCAGTACATCGTAATGAATGGCCTTTAGGTATCGTTACAAACGTTTTCCCAAGTGACGATAACCTTATTCGTAAAGTCGAAGTTCGTATTG